TTTATCCTTGCCACGGTACATCTGCAGCAGCACTAAGCCATTCAAGCACACCAAGCGATGTTGAACCTGTCGAAGGCCTCTCATAAGCGCTTGGGGGGGGGGGGGGGTTCCTCCTTGATACCTTCCCAAAGAAAATCATCCCTTTCATAGGAACACGTTCCCGGGAACCCCAAAAAAACAATGTACACCCCTAATATGGAAACCCCCTTAAAGGCTTAAAATTGGCTACCAAGCCCCACTGTTCTGGGCTGCGACTGCGGTTTGCAAACCGAGAGCTTCATCAATCTCCATGGGAGTCATTCTCTTAAAAAGCCGAAAAAAACCTTCAACACACCTTTAACGCCGAAAAGCTCCCTAGCCCTAAAACTAAACCAAAACCTGCGAACCTCAACGCAGCATCTCAGAAGCCTGACGTGTGGTGGGCGCACCGCAACCTCTCGCCGCAGAGCCACGTTTGCATCCGTCAGGGCCCTGGCCGACACAGCAACATCCAGACAACAGAGTCGTGTCAGAGGCCCCATGTAACAGCTCAGTGCTCATCAAACCCACGAGATGTGGGTACATTGATGCAATATCATGAACCTTGCCAGGGTCAAAGTGTAATTAGTGTAGCTCGCACCTGACTTGCTCGCGTAGATGTTCGATCTCCTCATCTGCTTCTGACCCATACTTCCTGTGGCCGAGGCTTCAGGAATATGCAGCAATGGCTTAGATCGGAAGGAAGCTCCTGACACGCTACTCCACTTCGGACTGGGCAGTGTCTCCCTAAACCAATTTAGCCGAAGCTTTGGGTTCGAAACCCCAAGACTTGCAGGCGCTAGCAAATGCCCACTTAGGGAGAATCGAGTTCAACAACCACGACTGCACAAAGCGAAATTTTTTTTGGTACCGAGAACCATCTGACAAGAAACCACCCAGAAATCATAGCGTTAGGAACATCCGAAAACAACAACTATAGTGATGAAACCCTCCAAGACCTAAGCAGCAAGAATCTATACTTCTTTATGCTCCGGTAGATGAGCCAAGGAATCAACCGGTATGACAGCTGCCGTTAGACATCGCGGACTGGTTGCGTTACTTCCTTCTGGATGCATGGCCGTGGAATTGATTTCTTAAACACGAAATCCTTGAAGTCTTGAAGGTACGCGACCACAAAGTTGAAAATCCCCACACACGCGGCTGCACAACACGGGCTTAGCACTGCGGGTTTCTCATGGGTTCCCCTACTACCGCCCCCTCCTAGGTTCCCCCTTAAATAGCCTTAACTAGCTAAACAACCTACTTATGGGGGGAACTAGTTAGTGGATACCATTTCCGTTTTCTAACCATGCACACCCCCCTAGGCCACCTGAAGATTCAAAACCATAACAACCTATACCTCAGCCCTAAACCCACCGAAAGACCCATAGGAAAGACCCACCTGGAGTCCCAAAACCATAACAACCTATACCTCAACCCCAAACTCACCAAAATACCCACACCAAGACCCACAAGATGGAACCACCAGAAGAAACCACACACCACCACATAGAAAAACCCCAACCTCGAACCCATAGACCAGCACCCCCATAGAAAAACCCATATTCCCCAACCCATATTCCTTAACCCTTGAAAATGGAAATGGTCTTCTTAAATAATCTTACAATTATAGGGAATAAGGTTTAGGGATAAGGTTGATTCTAGAAGCGCATGCCGATGCTCACAGTCTCTTTGGCACGATGGCACACTGCTGCTGTTTCCAGTGAAACACGACCTTGGTCACGCACCTTCCTTCAGGCAGATGCTGGATAGATTCCAAGCCAAAGGAGCTTCCCACAAATTCTCCACCTCGGACTCGCTGAGGTCTTGTGACTCCGACTGGCAATCTTCTCCACCGTTTGGCAGGCTGCCCAAGTCTTTCTGCCTGAGAATTCGGCATGCTGGCATCCTCAAGCTGAACCCATGCACGACTCCCCTGACGGACACCTTGATGTATTTCTTTGTGCCATCACGAAGCCAAGCCTGTTCGCCAATGGGTATGACACGCACTGTCGCCATGTCTGCAAGCTTCTTGACCTCTTCCATGACGTCCTTCTTGGTGATGCATTTGTATTCTGCATCTTTGGAATTCCCATCCCGTCCTATCAGCCGAAGTTTCTTTGCCTCTTCATAGTTGAATTCAACCTTCTTCAAGTCTTCGGCTGCCTTCTTCAACTCATCGGGATACTCTTGTTTGTAGATGGTGATGAAGTCCCCGATGCGGCACTCGTTGTCCTCAAACTGCAGGCCATGTTCCAAGCCAGCTGCGCCAACAAAAGCCTGCACTGCTTTCCGAGCATTATCCCCGCGGCAAAGGACATATGCATCGTAGGGCTCCTCATTGGCAACCGGTTTCGGGAAGTCGTTTGGGAACTTCTTCCTCACGGGCAAAAACGCAACCATGTGGGTGTCGGCGTCTGTTGGCTGGATGTTGTAGTCATAATAACAACTAACATAGTTGAAGATAGACATGATGTAAAATTTGGTGGTCGCCATGCATCGGCTGATGAAAACGGTATATTTACAAGCGATAAGCAAATTGGAAGCGTTGAAATTTGTCATACTAGATGGGGTAAAAATCAAATCACCCCTGAAGAACTGGAGCAAAAGATAGAAATCACCGAGACAGACATTGATAATATTAAGAAAGAGATAGAGCGTTTAGTGTTGGATATTAACGAATTGAAACTTAAAATTAGTCAGAAAACTGTTTAGAAATATAAATATATGGATTGCTTGTGTTTTAAGAAAGAGAAGGAAGAAAACAAAAGCGCTTGGTTAATTGAACGAAGAAAGATAAGAATGTATAACGCCAGGTTCAGTGCTATAATAGATGAACTGGAGGATTATCAACATTTAAGTCAATTTAAATTATTGTTTGGATTTTATGAATTACAGGAATTATTGAAATAAATACTTAACGTATTGTTTATTTATATATTTGACAGTGTAAAGCCCAGACATGATTTCTTCACCCCCGCGTGTTTTGCTGTACCATAAGCATATCATGACAGTATGGTAGTGGTTGATTAGCTTGGAGATGTGGCCCCTATTGCCCATTGCTCGTTCAAATGTTCTAATATTAATTAAAATATTAGAAGATTTTTTCAGTCTAACCATGCCTAAAGACTAGACTTTTAAATATGTTAAGATGGACAAGCGAGTGTGTAAATCGTGTTGTGCGACTAAAGATGTTGAAGAATTTGACGGCTTTAAGACTTGTAATAGGTGCCGTGAAGCGAGAAGAAATTGTTACAAAAGGAACCAGAAGGAATATAACCAAGCGAGAAAAGAAGAGAGAGCAAAAGGGAGCCAATTATGCGAAGAATGCGGACACAAAATAAAACACGAAAACTGGAATGACCATTTCCATTATGCGTTACATCCGAACTCGGAACTAAATATATTGATGAAGGTTATTTAACAAAGCCAGGTAATTTAAGGAAAGAAGGCAAACTAAACGACGAATTACAAGCAGAGATGAAGGCAGAATACGAAAAGCAGAAAAGGCTAAATACGCAAACGATTAAACGAACAATTCCCTAATAAATTTCAAGACGAGCCAGAAAAAGAATAACAACCGGAAGACAAGAAACGAAAACCCGACATTAACAAACTATTCAATCACGTTAATCAGTTCCTGATGAACGATGAGTTTTTGGAAGATTATTTTATGCTATTCGGTAAGCATAAGGATAGAATTATCATTGAGATTCCAGTTGATGAGTCATAAGTATAATGTAATTATAATCCTTAAGTTGTTGTAGATTATAACTATATTATAGTTGCAACCTCACTCCTAAACCTTATTCCTATTATAGATATTTTATTAGAGAATACCATTTCCATTTTCAAGGGTTAGGGTTTTCGGGTTGGGAATCTGGGTTTTTCAATGGGGGTGCTGGTCTATGGGTTCGAGGTTGGGGTTTTTCTATGTGGTGGTGTATGGTTTCTTCTGGTGGTTCCATCTTGTGGGTCTTGGTGTGGGTATTTTGGTGAGTTTAGGGTTGAGGTATAGGTTGTTATGGTTTTGGGTCTTCAGGTGGGTCTTTCCTATGGGTCTTTCGGTGGGTTTAGGGCTGAAGTATAGGTTGTTATGGTTTTGAATCTTCAGGTGGCCTAGGGGGGTGTGCATGGTTTGAAAATGGAAATGGTATCCACTAACTGAACTTGGGGGGGGGTAATTAGTATAGAGGGGGTAGTAGGGGAACCCATGAGGTTTAGGATTTCGGCTTGTCTATTTTCACATCCTATATACGCGCAATGTTCAGCAGGAGGCCTCAATACAGACGGGCCTGCCACCAAGCAGCCCTAGCAACGCATCGACAGCACCTGCTGACAACACCTGAACGAAGCACTACGTACACCCTGAAACCCCAAAACAGCCCGAAACCCAATACTACCCAATACCCTAAAGCCAAATACCCAAGCCCAGCCTGTTTATGGGTCGCCTCTCACGCGCCGGGAGGCATATCTTGCCCAGGCAAACGCCTTCCATTCTCCTCGGAGGTTCGCAGCTCAAGGGTCAAAGCTTAGGGCTTAGGGCTCCCGGGTTTGTCCGTCATTCAAATAAGGGTTTTGCTCAAGCACCTGGATCAAAAAACCGCGCCCCTGTGCAAGCGGCGAAGGCGGTCAGACTCCACAAGTTGTCATCGGAGCCTGAGCCTGCGGCTGTGAGGGAAGGCGCGGCACCTTTGTGATTGAGGCTGCGATTGGAGCCCGATATCAACTGAAATGGCAGCGGCGAACGTGGCAGAGGTGATTCAATGAACTTCATAGCTCAAGCTCTTGCAGTGATTGTGTTTTTTGTGCCAGGAGTGTTGGGGACGTTCAGGGGTTTGGCGGGCCCAGGGTGTCATCCCTGCAGCGATGGGGATGGTTTTCTCGCAGCCTTTTGCAAGCTTTGCGCAGAAGCTGCAACGTCCGGTGACAGCTGGGTTCCAGTGAGGCGGGGCTCCAGACCCCTTCCCACGACTCAGATGCTACTCACCGGCCCACGTCATAGGCCTGCACAAAGCCATGTCTGAGACCCTTCGAAATCCCAAAAATCCTGCACGCTGGCCAAGAACGACTCATGTGGGGCGTGATGCCCAGCCTCTTTAGCAGCTCCGCAGCCTCGCACTGAAACGACCCCTGTTGTTTAGAATGTGGATGTGGAATGGTTTTAAGTTTGGGGGTTTGGGGTTTGGGGTCAGGGATACCCGCTTTGAGTGTTCCTATCATAAGGGTTGATTGCCGTAGTTTAGGGTGGCATGTTAGGATATGCGGGGTACCTCCTTTGTTGCGGGGAGGGGGCGGGCGGGCGGGGGGGGGGGGGGGGGGCACTCTGCGCCTCGATTCTCGATCCCCAAAAAGCTGGCAACCCAGCAACCAGATGAACACCCCTTGTGCTTACTAAGGGAACCCAGAACCCAAAAAAGGCAAAAGGGTACCACTCAGTCACCAAGGAAGCCAAACAGGCAGGGCTATCAAAACTGTTGCCCAGGTGCGGGGCCCAGGATGAGCAACTGCAGTAGAGCTGAGAGGAACCAGGAGGCGCAGAGCACCTGACCATTGCCAGGACAATTCTGCGCCCAGCTGAACACTGCGATTGTGGCGATCTTCTGACATTATTTCATCCGTGACCAGGCTGAGCATCGCAGCGATGAGAAACATGAGCAGGGTGCGTCAACAAACCCCAAATCCTGCAACTCGGACCTTAAACTTTTCCTTGGGGCGCTGGATTTCTGATAGCCCCTTACAATTAGAATCTAGACATGTGATTACCAAAACATCGAGAGCAGTTTGACAACTGAAACGCTGAACCCCAAACCCTGAACCCCAAACCCTGAACCCCACACCCTGAACCCCAAAACTGAAAAGCGGAATTTGAGATCGATTCTTGGCCCTAGGGTTCATGGTCTGGGATGTAGGATTGTGGGCTTAGGCCAAAAGGCCTGTGGTTAAAGTCATGGTTAAGGGTTTTTTGGGGTTTCAGGGCTTTAGGGATTTTAGGGTTCGGAGTTTAGGGGCTCAAGCTGCTGTCCAAGAGACCACCAGCAGCAAGGAAAAGAAGACCATGTACCTGAGATTCTGGGGCCCTTGGAACGCATCACAAGAGAAGAGCCCTGCCGCAACTGAGGGCTTCCTCAACCCTAAGCCCTTAAACTTGCAAACCCTAATCCCCTAAGTGCTGGAATCCTAAGTGCAAGCCAGTGGGGCGAGAACGGATAGTCCCAGGAGGGTCCCGGTAGCACCAGCCCCTCAATGACCTGGGGCTTGGGGGGTCTTGGGTGTTTGGGGGGGGGGGGTTAACTAGGGATTGCACATGATTGCACTGGAGCATTTAGGGTTCAAGGAGGTTTAGGGCTCCTTTGTGTTTTGAGCGACTTCAGGGAGGCTGAGGATCTAGCTGGATGGAAGTCGAGCCGCCACAAACAGCACGTTGTGCACGAGGAGTATGGGCAATGAGAGCTGTGACCCTGCACAACTGGCTGACTTGAACTTGTGATGCGTGTCTCACCCTTCAGCCTTGTTTCGGGTTCAGGATTTTAGGGTTTTAAGGTTTGCCCTGGTTCTCGCGAAGCATGCAGAAGCCCTGTGCACCCATCTTGCCTATTGTGCCCCAGAGCCAATGGCCGGCAAAGAACTTCAGCACCTTGCTTTCCTTGGTCTGCCCATTCCACAAAAAACCTGAGACTAGATAGGGGTTTTGGGCCTTTCAGACAAAGATGTCGTATCATGCTCACCGCCCTTCTTGTAAACTCCCAGCTGGTTTTTTGGGGAATCCCTTGTGGCACATGGAATCCAAACACTCGAAAACCCAAAGCTTCGCAGCTCCAACACTTTCACGTCAACGCTCAACAGACCCCAAAAAGATCCAAAAACATTGCCCTGGTCCGCTGGTCCCCCACTCTCTCGCACAGCTGCGGCATTGGCCACCAACAGCACCGAAGCCGCAAGAGGCGCCCAGCCGAAGGCCAACATCAGCCGAGCCTCCGTGGTCAGAATGGATCAGAGTGGATCTAGGGCGGTCCTTAGAGTTTGGGGTCAAGAGGGTTTGTTGGGTCATTAGGGGTTAGGGGGCCTTGGGGGAGCTCGAGGGTCAGACAATTTGGGGCATGGGCCCGGATTAAAGGTGTAAGGTGTCTCCCTAGAGTCCAAACGACTCCGACGAGCGAACGTTGATGAAGTTCATTCCAAACTGGGAGAACTTTGGGGGGGCGGGGGGGGGGGGGGGGACCCCCAAAGGCCCAAAACCCTGCCTCCACCCCAGGAGTCCGCTTGCGGCCGCTGAGCTGCACCGCGGCCACCTCGTAGAGCACAGGTGCTCCAGGGTTCAGTAGGGCGTAGGGTGTAGAGCGTACAGGGCTCAGGGATGCTGTAGGGTTTTGGAGGCGCATTAATAGGGGACTCCTCTTTACAGTCAAGTTTGCCGGGCTTTGCAGGACCCTGTGACTGTTTGGGGGTCCAGAGAGGGGACCGCAATTAAGTCAAATCGTTCGGGTGTCGTAAGAAAATTTCGCGTGGCGCGCCTTCAAAACGATTTGCCGGGCCTCGCTGTCCCTTGAAGGTCGTGTAAATTCCTCCCCCGTTAAAATCATATGAATACCGTAGACCGCTTAAAAGAGCAAAAAACAGCTTCACCTGTTCAGGGGTTTGCGATTTACATAGTTCGAGGTTCAGGCGTCAGGGCTCTAGAACTGTAGGGTTTAGTGGTTTTTTTAGGGCATGCTGCGAGGGACACTTGTTGCGCAAGGCTGCTTCGGATCTTCAGCATTCCATTTGGGGGCCAGAGGAAGCCCCTGACAATGCGGATCCTAGTTGCGAAAGGAGCAAGCGACCGCTGCCAGCTTGGTTTAAGGGATTTTGTCACACGCAGCCTCATCCTGGCTCGAGATGAACCAGTCGGCTTGCACAGTGAGCACCTAGCAGAAGGGGGTTCAGGCTTGAGGGCTTTTGCGGCAGGGGGTTTGATGTTTGGGGCTTTGGGGATTGGGTGTCCGACACACACATGGAGGAAGCTTTTTGTTTGGAATCCGGCGCCCTAGAAGTCCGGGTGATCCGCGCATCTTCTTGGAGTGCCAACCAAATCAAATGCGTCACAGCGCACGGAGTTCATCCCGCATACTTTTGGATCAAACTTTCCTACGAACCCAAAACCCACACTCCTAAAGGCCTAAAACCCTAAAACTCTCAAGCTAAACCCAAAAAAAAAGCGGTTCGGATCTTGATGCCATTCACGCAGCTCAGTGCCTGCCTGACCCCTGAAGCTCCAAGGGCCGCGCCCCGGCAAAGAACAGAAGCCGAAAGCCGATGGGGATGTTTAGGGTTTAGGGTTTTCGGGTTCTTTCTTTTAACAACCCTGTGCACCTTTTCTAGGCCGGGCTTTAAGGTTTAGGGTAAGCCCCAAAACCTTAAACCCTAAACCTGCACTTGGCGCTGCGAGGGCGGCGGCTAAGGCGAGTGTGCAGGGCCCTGGGCGACGCGGCGACCTGCAGCGCGGTGCTGTTTTGGGTGAAGGTCAGGTTGAGGGTTTGGGGTCTTCCGGCTTACCAGAGTGCAGGGTTTAAAGATCAAGTTGAGAGCTTCGGCTTGCCACGGATTCAAGAAGGTAGAGGCGAGGACTGCAGGAGAAGCCAGAAAGAAGTGTATGAGCTGGAAGACTTTGAGGAGCCGGTCTTTGTCTCCTTGCGGACACGAGTTGCGGGAGCCACGTGGCCAGGAGCATAGTGCTCAAGGTCTCGGGAAGGCGCCGGTAGGGCAGCGACCAAAGCCTCATGAAGAAGGGTGTTGGATGTTTTCTCGAAGTCACATGCGGAGATCCTGCGCCACTGTCTTGTGAGTTTGACACTAAACCCCAAACCCCAATACACCCCAAGCCCACATCCTCCGGCTGTGGCCTTAGAGACCCCCCAAATGAACAGATGGCGCCTGCCGCTTGCTCCACAAGTCTCAGGGGTTTAGGGTTTGTGGATAAACGCGCGGGGCCCTCCCTTTTAATCCGTTGCAGAGGTCTCGCAGGCTCCTGGCGCTCCTTGCGCCCGGGTGAAGTGAGGGACTGGTAATGAGATCGCCGCAGCTGTAGCGCTCATACGACACAAAGTAGTGTTCCCACACGTTCTTTACCGGCAACGATGGCATCTTATTTCTTGTGTAAGGTTTCGGATTAGGCAGGGGCAAAGCATAGGGTAAGAGAAGGCATTGCTGGGGTAGTGGTGGGGGAAAGGGGGCATTCAGGAGTGCAGGGGGGGGTGGATCATGGAGCTCAGCCGAGCATCAGGTTCTCATCGCCCAGGTCACCAAGCAGGATGCTCTGCAGAGCGACTGCCAGCAGGGCTCCCTGACATGACAAATTGAGAGCTTCGAGGCAGTCCCGAAATTCATTCATCTCCCCTTCATCCTCGAACAACCCTTTGCCAATTCGCCGTTTCTTTGGTCAGCCATGGCCCTGTTCACAAAAACACAGCTTGAACTTCGAATTTGAACAAGGCACGCGAGAAAACAAATCTTAGGATTACCAGGGTCTCTGCAAATGGGAGGTTTTCGCACCAAGAAATTGCCCCGCCAGACTGGGCTGCCGGGCTGCCGGACAGTGCAACGATGAAAGTATCGAAGAAGGCGAAGCAAACGACCCCGTGGCGGTATGCAACCAAATCCAAGCATAGAACCCTAACAGCAACACCCCTCATCCAAACAGCTTCGCGAAGAACATGTGTTGGAAGATCTGTGAGAGCTGACTGCCTGGATACTTCTTCTGGACATGGTTGGATTGTTACATCCCTTCATCCTTACATCCCTCTCCGGTCCGTCAGTGCCAGTCCAAGGAGGTCTCCCGCGATGCCACGCAAGACCTCACCAGCATGTGGAGGGGCGGTTCTGTCGTATGAAGGCATCCCTTATGCACAACACTGATCATAGGATCCTCTCTCTTCTTGAAAGTTGTCAAACTCTAACTTTCAAAATAGAAAGAAGTCCTGATTTAGAACAGCCCCCCTGTCGGCTTTCGCCTCGATACTTTGCAAGTCATACCCCTATGGTTCAAAACCCGAACACTAAAGTCACTAAAGATCACTGGATCACGATTGGTTGAAACTACCAATCCTGACCAGTCCTAACATAGAACCATCGAGTGGTGGAGCCCTAAGACCCTCAACTCTCAACCCGCTTTTCCGGTTTCGACTAGGGGTCTGCAGCAAGATTTCTGGAGAGACCTTCAACCCGGAAGCCCAAAAGCCGAAATGCCTAAACCCTAAACCTGAATTGGGTGGAAAAAACAAGTTGAGGTTGAGGGCGATCACGGCTAGGAGCGGCAAAACAGCTTGGGGTTTAGGATGGGTTTAGGGCGGGTTCGAGACCTCTGAATGCAGTCCCCGTCGCGAGCAATAGGACCATGCAAGCCTGGCGCGGGACACTTCCAAAATTCCAAAAGCAAATCTCCGGGCTATCTGCCTGCGTGGGGTCCACTGGTCCAAACATGGCGGGTCGTGGTGTCAAAAGGGGGCATCGTTGCTCGAACTGCACCAAACGATACAACACATGACAAAGCTCCGTCAGCTCCAGTGGCATCCAGCTGTGCGTCGCGGAGGATGGCCCAGTTGGCAAAAGTATTCCAACCTCAAGCAGGGTTTAGGTCAGTTGAAATAATGAAAGTAGCTGTCATGCAACTCAACTTCGCATTGACATGTTCACGGGCCCACAGTGGTGGTGCGCATTCTTCAACTTCCTGCAGCCCTACACAGTGAAAGCATACACCTGACGCGGCTAGGAGGCACTCTGGATTCAGGGCGTCCTCCAAGTTGGAGCAGAGCTGCCGCTTGCCCTGGACCAGGTGTCAGCTCGCATGATTCATACAGGAACACGACCACGAGACCACGAGTGTTGTGACCATGTACACGACTCGTCCTGACTGCCGGCTCGTTGGTATAAAGTCAAACAATGAGATCCCACGTTGGTTTTCGCTTTGTCTTGCGTCGATGCTTCAAGCGGCAAGCGCCCACTGTTCAAAAGGCCATGCCCAAACCGCATAAAACGATGCTACGATGCGCCTGTAGGGATGTACGCGAGGCAATGTCCAAGTGCAGCAGTGGCAGGCCTGCAGGGCTCAATGGATGGTCTAAAGGCGAGATGTCATAAGAGCTTAGAGATGGGTTCGGGAATTAAAACAAAAAACAGACTCCCGCTGCACAACTTCCAACCTCACATTGCCGCTTGAGGTAATCCCCGTCCCCGTGTCCACGCCTTGATGGAAGGCTGCATACGCCAAAAGGAGCGGGGGAACCTGTCACGGCGAGAGATACGGCCAAACAACTTCGGATTGGCCTTGTCTGCGCGTGCAATGCGGCAACGGCAGCCACCCAAAATTTGAGAGAGTCGCAAGCGCAGCGCTGAGACATGCGTGTAGTTGAACCAGACTCAGGATCCTGTTGCACACGGAAATGGACATGGACATGGCTTCAATTGACTCCAGCAGTCAAGGGCTCTGCGGAGCCTGGGAAGCTAAAAACACTAGAGCCCGAACCCCAAACTGCCGCCGAAAACAAGATGAGCCCTAAACTTCCCTGAGACCAATGCCCTAAAACCATCCAAGCCTGGCGAAGGGCCTTGCGCCACAGCCGCGCAACCTTCTACATTCAACAACCCTTCGTAAACGAAGGGAAGGACGGGAAAAACACGTAGCCCCAGGTGCAGGCTGGTGACCCGAAAGCCCCATATAGGGTCTATGCAGAGTGAGTGTGCGAAGAGGGATGAATGACACGTGACCATCACTGCTTCAAATAGGGTCGTACCTTGGGTGCTGTCAGTGGTTTAGGGTTTGCGGAGGATGGGGCATTAATGAAGTGCTTATCTATCAAAAATCTGACACAAACAAGAGCCTAGATGATTGAAAATATGTTGCCCCTACTGTCATCCCCATATGCATTTCATTCCTAAACCCTGAACCCAAAATTCTGAACCCTAAATCTTAAACCCTAAACCGATTCCCGTGACATAGCTCTTTCTGTTTCTTCACCCGAGCTGCACCCCAACGGAGCCATGCGCCAGCACCCCCACCACGAAGCCGCTGCTCCTGTCTTTGTGCCGCTTCTGAGTTTCGGGTAGGGTCTAAGCTTTACAGTGCTGTTTAGCCTTGTAAGGATTAGCAAGGAGTGCATGGGGGCTCTGCGATTATGAGAAAAGTACGCTGAGGGCTCCCTGAAGGGGGTTGACAATCTCAGCATTTCTTTTGACGTGACCTGGCGACGTATGGACTGGACACCTGACGCACTCAATGCAGGAGAGGAAGTCCCAAACTCTAGTCTCTTTTGGGGGAACTAAAGAAAGGCATGCTCGACAATAATCCTGGATCCTCGTTGTAGGAAGAGCCTAAAACCCTCGGCAGACTTGCAAAGACCTCGTAAGAGCGGCGCATCAGAAATACCTCGCATTCAGGGTGAGGATTCCAGGCTTTAAGACCTGAGAGGGTTCAGGGATGTTTTTTGTGCCCGAACTGTGAACCCTGGACCTACACCTCCCCTAGCATCCCTCAGGTGGATTCAGTTGGCCGAGCCACAGGGCACATGTGCAGGGCATTGTTTTCAGTTCAGGGCCTTGGAGAGTTGGGTTTCGGGCTTGTGGGGCACCGTCGTTGCTGTGTCCAAGCGCAACTCCCGAAGCCCCCCGCCGTCTGTTCATGACCCGGCGCTGAAACGGCGGAGAAGACGGAACTGTAGAGGATGCACCCATGCCTGCGGCGCCCACGCATGGCGCATGGCAAAGCGTTCAAGGCCCGAAAAGAGGATCGTCCGTGGAGTTGGGGGTTTATGCTTTAGAGTTTCTGTGCGCAGTTATCTTCTCCGTCCCGGCTCATCTCGTCCTGCAAGTCCTTCCGAAAAAGCACCAGTTCAAAAAGCTGTACATGAGAAAAACATAAGCAACAAGAGGGCCGCCTGTTAAACTTGGAGCGAGCAGGACTTGAGTTGCAAGAAGTCTGGTTCTTCAGGCCGCACGGGCAACAAGAGGGCCGCCTCTTTGGCGCGAAACTGGAGCGAGCATCTTCAGGCCGAAGTCGAGCGCTTGGCACCTTGTCCTTTGCGTCCGGAGCTTTCACGCAGCAAACTCTGGACGGCAGCCTCTCTGCAGATGCAGCTCCCGGGCTCCCGTGTGGCCCGTGTGCCTTCGCAGAGAAGCCAAAAGTTGAAGATGCCGGCAGGCTTGTGGGCTGATCATCCAACTCGCCTTGCTGGAGCTGCTAAGTCGGCACCCCCGGTTACGGCGGCTCTTCGCACAATGCAACTTCAGTCATCTCCGTGCCCGAACTCACCTGGCGCCAGACTACCGGGGGCTCAGCAGCTGGCACCGGCTCAGCAGTTCGTGCCGGCTCTGTATACAGAGTGCTGCTCCAAGAACGTTAGCAAACACATCGAACCGTTGAGCTTCGCCGTCAGCACGCTTGGCTTCAGCTTCGGCACGTGCTTTTCTGCCTCTGCACGTTGCTCCTGTGCCAGGGCATGCCCGCCTCGGCCTCCGCCCTCTTAGATTGCTCCAGTGCTTCCTTGTATCCTCGACTGCAGCTCCGTGTAGCTTGTGCTGTCTTCTTCTGCGTGCAAGTCCCAGCACTGCAACTCGCCGCAAGCCTTGCGAAGCCCCTTCATCCACCCTTCTTTGGGCACGGCCCAGCTGTCATGCACAGCTTCAGCTGTACTTGATCTGTGGGATACGTGTCCCTTGACATGAAGCTGTGCAGCTGTGTCTCTCGCAGGCGACGTCTCTTGGCTTCCGGAAATTCTAGGCAGGCACTGCCCAGCTTCTCTACATGTTGCTTTGAAATTTTCTGGGGCCTTCAGGGCTTCTGGGGCCTTAAGGGCTTTCATGCCTCTACGCTGCTGCGCCTTGAAGTGCACCCTAAACCCTAAACCCTACACTGCCTAATCTCAAAAGCCAAAATCTCGAATTTGGGGTGCAGGGCTTCCTCTCTGTGCCAAGGTGCTGCACCCGCCGGGCCAGCCATGGCATGGACGCAACCTCCCAAGTAAACCATATTAAACCATAGTAACCCCTAATCTCAAAACCCAAACCCCTAAACCGCAATGGGTGCTAGGGTTTCGGGCTGCAGGGGGTTTCAACGTCGGACTTATAGTGCCACAACCCCCGAAAGCCTCTTGAAAGCCGGCCTTAGAACCCAAACAACTAGATCGAAAACACGAAGCAACCGATCATAAAGGCTCCAACATCAACATGCTCAGCCGTCAAGCTCGCACTGAATGGAACTGAGCAACCAGCCTTACCCAAGTCGCGCTTGAGGAAGAACACGTGGTACCTTGACTGCATTGGTGAGACTAAACATCTTCGGTAAGGGGCGAGGTCTTGACAAACATGGCCTGATCTTGCTGCACTTCGCAAATGCGTGGTCAGGGCAGCAGGTCCGTCCTACCGGCCTAGAAGCCCGTCGGGTGCCCTGCTGGACATGTCTGATGATCGTGTGAAGGATGCATTGGCAGCAGCGACAGCCGTGATCACGGAGTGATCCCAGGGGGGCCGTTTCCATATGGGGTGCGGCGACCTCTTCGGTCACTGTCGATGACCCTGACCAGACTGAAGTGCACATGGCTAATGCGCACGACGAACTCTCTGTCTGCGCACGTTGAAAAACCTTTGGATCACAGGGCATTGGAAGGGTGATACGCTCAGCTGCTAGGAGCAACCGTCGTTTACTTGATTCGAGGCAGCCACCATGCCCAAAGAAAGCTTGAATGTGCAATGAGCCGCGGTGTCTCGCGTCATCTCTTTTGGGATCACAAATTCAAGCGGGATCAGGCATGAACGCGGCTTCAGGGGTATTCACTTCAGCCCCGACGTGCCCGGAGTTCCGGCCCTGACTGCGCGACAATGAGAGCCTTTGCTTTTCTACTGCGCATGCTCCCTGGTCTCCCGCCTCCCTCCCTGGCTTTCCGTGTCAGACAGGCTGCCAGGACATGGCCACGACCTTCAACTTACCCTTGCTTCACTAGTCACTAGTCTAATGCTGCGCCTGATCTTCGTTCCGATTGACTTGCCCGAAAGGAGCCCATGGCAGCCAGGCAACCCGAGAATTGCGACCGTGCCCAGAGCTCTGATGGCGCAAACCGCCTGAGCATGGGTGAAGTTCTGCCCTGTAACTATGCAAAGCGCATGCGAAACTACATCACATCGGTATGCAAAAGATCAAAGCGTTCAACGCCCTAGCCTGGAAGGCTCCCCGACCCTGCGCAGCTGTGCCTCCAAATGACCAGGAGGAGGAAGCTGGAAAAGCCTGCTGCGCTTCGCGGCAGTCCAGTCGAACACAACTACGTAGGCAACTAGTTTGTGCCAAGGTAGATATGTAGGGATATGCAGCAATCAGGATGGACAAACGCAGAACATCTTGCTGAAGCTCCGAGCCTGGAAGCTTGGCACCTCAGGCCCAGAGTCCGAGGCCCCAGTGAGAGGAGCTCGCACGCGGTGCCCAACCTCCGTTCTATGACGAATGCGAACAGACGTGACATCGGCTAATCCCCAAGCCCCAAATTCCTCCACTCCGCACTGCTGAGCGCAATGCGCCGCAGGCAAGAGCAACCAGATCCAGTGAAGCGATGGCAAGTGCAGTGAGAACTCGGCGGCCTCATCACAGAAGGGGAAGAGCAAAGATGGCAGCAGAAAGCAGCGGCTTCACTCCCACTTCAATCAGCACAGGCAGGAAAACCGTGCAGGAGTAAGAAAGGGCATCTGTAGTTAGAATTGCTGGGCAGTTTAGTTTGTTTATTTTGTCCTGAATAACACATACATACAAAATACATGTGTATGAACACATATTATATATATATATATATATATCCGCCGACCCCTAGGGGGGCGGCGTCAGTGAAGACCCATTGCCCCTACCACCTACTCCATCCAAAGCTCGACCGGGCCCCAGTGCATGCCCGCCCGCTTGCCCTACCCCCACCACCCACGCACCCCGCTCCCCGCCGCTTGCCCTACCTTTACCACCAACGCACCCCGCACTGCATCCCATCGACCCCCATGCATGGTCCATGGACATGGCCCATGCTCGCCCCCTCCGCTCCGCCCGCTACGCCTACTCCCCCCCTGGCCGCCTACCCCTCGACCCCCATGGCCCCCCTGGACATGGCTTCTCAGCTGACTTTAAAGGGCCCCAGTGCATGCCCGCTCCTTCCCCCCTCACATGGCTCCTGCTCCACCCAACCCTCACCCCCACCCCCCACGCACCCCGCCCATGCCCCTCATTGGCTTCCCACTCTCCATCCCCTCGACCTCCATGCTCCATGGACATAAAGGGCGCCAGTGCATGCCGCCCCCTCCGCTTGCTGGCCCCACCCCCGCCGCTTGCCCTACCTTCACCACCCACGCACCCCGCACTCCATCCCATCGACCCCCATGGTCCATGGACATGGCCCAGTGCATGCTCGCCCCCTCCGCTCCGCCCGCTACGCCTACTCCCGCCCTGGCCGCCTACCCCTCGACCCCCATGACATGGCTTCTCAGCTGACTTTAAAGGGCCCCAGTGCATGCCCGCTCCTTCCCCGCCCGCCCCCCTCCTCTTGCTGCCACCCCCACCCCTCACGCACCCGCCCATGCCCCTCATGGACCCATGGCTCCTGGCCCCATTGGCTCATGGTTTCCCTCTCCATCCCCTCGACCTCCATGCTCCATGGACATGGCTTCTCAGCTGACTTTAAAGGGCTCTAAGCGCATGCCCGCCCCCTCCGCTTGCTCCGTCCCGCTCCGCCCTTCCCGCTCCGCCTACTCCCCCCGTAACCCTACCCCTCGACCCCCATGGCCCCCACCATGCCTCCTGGCCCCATTGGTCCATGGTCCCACTCGACCTCCCTGGCCCATGGACATCCCTCATATATGGCTCCTGCCCACCTCCCATGGACATGCTTCTCAGCTGACTTTAAAGGGCCGCAGTCCATGCCCGCCCCCTCCGCTTGCTCCGCCCGCTCCGCCCTTCCGCCCATGGCCCGCACCGCCCCCTCCGCTTGCTCCGCCCGCCCCACCATGCCTCCTGGCCCCATTGGCCCATGGTCCCACTCGACCCCCATGGCTGCCATGGACATGCCTCATATGGCTCCTGCCCACCCCCCATAGACATGGCTTCTCAGTCCAGGCCCACCCCCTCCGCTTGCTCCGCCCGCTCCGCCCTCCGCCCTTCCGCCCATGGCCCCCACCATGGCTGCTGGCCCCATTCACCCATGGTCCCACTCTCCATCCCCTCGACCCATGCCCACCCCCTCCGCTTGCTTCCGCTTGCTCCGCCCACTCCCCGCTCCACCCTTGTCGCTCCGCCCAGTCCCCCCCCTGGCCCCATCCCTCCATCCCTTGGCTGGACGCTGACTTTAAAGGGGTCCAAGTGCGCCCCCTCTGCTTGCTCCGCCCGCTCCGCCCTAACCCAAACCCCTCGACCATGGCCCCCACCATGCCTCCTGGCCCCATTGGCCCATGGTCCCACTCGACCCCCATGGCTGCCATGGACATGCCTCATACGACTCCCCCATGCACATGGCTTCTCAGCTGACTTTAAAGGGCCCCAGTCCATGCCCGCCCCCTCCGCTTGCTCCGCCCGCTCCGCCCTCCGCCCTTCCGCCCATGGCCCCCACCGCCCCCTCCGCTTGCTCCGCCCGCTCCGCCCTTCCCGCTCCGCCTACTCCCCCCCTAACCCTACCCCTCGACCCCCCCCCATTGGCCCATGGTCCCACTCGATCCCCATGGCTGGCTGGACGTGGCTTCTCAGCTGACGAAAAAAAGGCTCCAAGTGCATGCCCGCCCCCTCCGCCCGCTCCGCCCTTCCCGCTCCGCCTACTCCCCCCCTAACCCTCCCACCATGCCTCCCCATTGACCCATGGTCCCACTCGACCCCCATGGCTGCCATGGGACATGCCTCCTATTCCTCCTCTTGTGACTTTCCATGCCCGCCCCCTCCACTTGCTCTGCGCGCTCCGCCCTCCGCCCTTCCGCCCATGGCCCCCACCATGGCTCCTGGCCCCATGGCCCCCACCATGGCTCCTGGCCCCATTGGCCCATGGTCCCACTCTCCATCCCCTCGACCCATGCCACCCCCTCCGCTTGCTCCGCCCACTCCCCGCTCCCAGCCCATGGCCCCCATGGACATGGCTTCTCAGCTGACTTTAAAGGGCCCCATTGCATGCCCGCTCCTTCCCCCCTCACATGGCTCCTGCTCCACCCAAGCCTCACCCCCACCCCCCACACACCCCGCCCATGCCCCTCATTGGCTTCTCAGCTGACTTGCCCCTCATGCACCCATGGCTCCTGGCCCCATTGGCTCATGGTTTCACTCTCCATCCCCTCGACCTCCATGCTCCATGACACGACATATGGCTTGTCAGCTGACTTTGAAGGGCCCCAGTCCATGCCCGCCCCCTCCGCTCGCCCCCTCACCCCCCATGGACATGGCTTCTCAGCTGACATAAAAAGGGCCCCAGTCCATGCCGGCCCCCTCAATTGCTCCGCCCGCTCCGCCCCCATTGGCCCATGGTCCCACTCGACCCCCATGGCTGCCATGGACATGCCTCATATGGCTCCCCCACCCTCCATGGACATGGCTTCTCAGCTGACTTTAAAGGGCCCCAGTCCATGCCCGCCCCCTCCGCTTGCTCCGCCCGCTCCGCCCTCCGCCCTTCCGCCCATGGCCCCCACCATGGCTCCGGGCCCCATTGGCCCACCCATGCCCACCCCCGCCCACTCCCCCACTCCACCCTTGCCACTCCGCCCAGTCCCTCCCCTGGCCCCATCCCTCCATCCCCTCGACTGTCATGGCCTCCCTGGACATGGCTTCTCGGCTGACTTTAAAGCCATTCTGGCCTTATCCCTCGACCACCCCCAACCCTCACCCCACCCCCCACGCAGACCCATGGCTCCTGGCCAGGTGGACTAGCCTTCGCAGCCAGCTGCGGCTTTGGGGTCGGCGGCACTGGCGGTAGCCATTAAATCGGGCAGCGCGAGGTCCCCAAAGGACCGAGCAAATGCGGACCTTTTAGCCCGGGTCGTCCCGGGAATAGCCTTGCTGGCCTCTGGCCTTCTGCGAAGCAGAATTAGGCCGGACGCCAGTGCCGCCGACCCCCGCGTGCCGCCGGTGAACGGTTTTTTTTTCGTGGTTTTTTGGCGCGCATCATGAGCATCAGCGGGTCCAGCCCGGGACCCCCAGGCGCGCATCAGGAGCATCAGCGGCTCCCGGGGCGGGACCCCGGGGGCGCATCAGGAGCATGATGCCCCCCAAAGGGCGGGCATAAGCGACGTGTCTAAGCCCGGGGCTAGGAAAAAGGGAGTTTAGGGGCCTTATAAAGTGCGGGAGTCTAGGAGCCTCAAACGCTTAGAGATTTGAAGGGAGTTTAGGGGCCTGAAAATGCTTAGAAACTTAACGCTTAGAGATTTTAAGGGAGTTTAGGGCCTCAACATGCTTAGAAACTGCTCGCCCCGGGCTTCTGCGTGCGCTGCCCGCCCATGGGCGCAGCCCCTTAAATATATATATATATATATATATATATATATATATATATATATATATATATAAGCGTTTCAAGGGCGTCATATGTGCCAGAACCCTTCGCCCGCCTCGACCCTCAGGTCCAAGAGCTGGCTGGAGAAGCCCTCGAAGCCAAGGATGAAGTCCAGGTAGGCGGGCGCCAGGCTCACCTAGGTTTTGAGGGGTTCAGGGTAAAAAAATTACCGGGTCATGCGCAAAACCCTAGGGAGGGGGACGGGGGAGGGGGAGGGCGAGGGGCTTTGCTGCCAGTTTTGTGTGGCCCAGGACAAGCCTAAACTAACCCTCATGTCTTGGTCGCGTTGGGAGAATTACCGAAGCTCAAAATACCGAAGCTCAAAGCCCCAGGAGCGGCCCAAACCCGAAAGTCCTTTCCAGTAGATCCCAGAAAGCTCGAAACCCCAGACCCCCCCCCCCCCCCCCCAACCCATTCCAATTTGGGCCCTGACACCAACCCGAAATCTCGGGACCCGAAGCGGCAAGCAACCTGCGAGAAACAGCGGCCTCCACATGGCCCTCATCGCAAGACTCTGGGACACACAGGCCGAAATAGACCTTCTGCTGCATGATGGGGCGGTGGGGGCGGGGCGGGGGCTTCGGATTCAAGAATGTTCAGGCTTTAGGGTTTGAAGCTTAGGTTTAATTTAGGGTTTTGGGTTTAGCTCCCCGTGTAAGGAGCCTGGGAAAGTGCAGGTTGGAAACGACGGGAGGATCAAGGAAGCAAAAGAGCCTCACCCCTAAGCCCTGAGCCCCGCACCCGAAGTGGGGTGGGTTTGAGGGTCCCATAAACATGTTCATTTCTACGGCTTCATATGGTGATATCGGGGCCCATAAACCATGGATTTGTGAATTGTCTTCCAAATCCACCCCAGTAAACCCTAACCCTAGACCCCCATCCCGAAGTCCTAAACACATGTTCACAAGTCAGGCCATGATACATCCGGCTGCCACTGTCCCTGCTGAAGCTGGTACCGCGCTGACACCTACAGAGCTCGAAGAGTCTGGGCACACAAGCTCAGGCACCCGATATGCAGGGTATCAGATGCCAGCACACGCCTCATGTTTAGAGTTCACAAGGGAATTGAACATGATTGCCCTCTGGCCGCCATGTTTCCAGTCAACAGAAGGATTTCCCCCCCCCCCCCCGGCTACCAGACTAAAGTCACCGCTTTCGACCTGTTTGGGGCTCCAAAGTGAGCCACAGAGCATGAGGACTGAGCGCTCTGGCCGTGAAGAAGCGGAACCCGCGCGCCGAACAACCATCCGCATCGCCTGGAACGAATCTTATGGAATCTTAAGCATCTCAGACATTTGAAATGAAAGGCTTGGGAGGTTCGGGGGCTTATGGGGGCATTCAGGGATGCTGAGGGATGACATTCAAGAGCGGCTTCCCACGCGAAAACTTCTACCTCAACACAGGCTCTTGCGACACGAAAGCAAGGTCTTTGCTTCAGTAGAGCTGTACGGCGAAGCAGTGGCTGACGGCACCCAGCCCAAAGAGACCAGTGCTCGTCTCGCGCCACTCATGGAATCGGTAGTTTTTGGAGCTGGACGTGGGGCCTTGATAAGCCCATTGGTCGAAACCGCCCGGGGAACGCTTGCAAATGGCGTAGCAGCACATGCCAGCTTTCTCGGACATGGCCTTGGCAATGAAGGAGGCGCGCTCAATGCAGTTGTCCTTGCTGCCATCGGGAAAGGTTGCAATGGACTGGCGTATGCTCTCCTCACAGCCCTGGCAAAACTCATCGTGGGCCAGTGCACTTGAGCTTGAGGAGGTCGGCAGCTCAAGATAGCAATAGCAAACATCCGAGATCCAGGACTTCTTACTAGTGATACACTTGGTTACTGCATAGCCCCAGTTCTGGCCCCCGGCTCGTCCACCATACACGATGCCGAGAAAAGGAGTCGAGGTACAGCTGCTCAGCAATTCGGACATGTTCTTTAGCCTGTCCAGGCAATTTCCACCAGGCAGTGACCCAAGCTTTTCAAAGACGTGCGATACATCACGAGCACACTTCGGATTTGGCACCTCTTGGCCGTGGCCCTCACTGGACTCATACCAATTCTGTGCCACGAGTGCGCGAATCGTCTCTGCATCGGGGAAGTCGAACTTGGTGGCCACGTGAACCGAGTGCTCCTCGAGGAACTTGCGGAAGGCTACGCACACAGAGGGGCCCAGGCGCCCTCCAGGCAAGCAGGCCTCCAGCACTTTCAAGCATCCCTTCTCAGGGCGTAGGCGGCCGGCCTGGTGCCAAGCCTGCCAATCCTTCACCATGTCCCCCAGCGCCCGAGTCGCATCCCGCCAGCTAGATCGCAGGTTCTCCGAAGTCAAACGGACCCCACACGTGTGCCTGAGCCTCCCAGGCAGCTCCAGCATAGCCAGCACCCTCCTGCCTCGCTGTACCAGGGCAGATACTGATGCTGGCAGATCCTCACGCTGCAGGAGCTGATGTCCAAAGAAGGCCTCCAGCAAGTCTTGCACCTCGGACCAATTCTCCTGTGACGGGATCTAAAATGCGTCAAAAGATTGATGGGCTATAGTACTTCTATAGACAAGAACCAAAAAAAATGCACCGGGATTCACGCTGTCTGCTGCTGTCCTCCGTGTCGAAGTACTCTCGAGCACCCCAGTCACGCATGACCAGCAAGACGACCACCTCCTCCGGCTGTTCACGGAGAAACTCGGCCACCTCCTCAAGGACACTGCAGAAGCTCCGGTTGCAAACTACGGTGTGGCAGATGTAGAGCTGCCCATCATGCCGGCCCAAGCGCAGATCCAGCAGGCGAACGCCCTTTCGCAGCAGTTCACCGATGCCATCACTTTGGCACACCGCAATGGCCCCCGCTATCGGCCTTGCGATCGCATTAGCCACTCCGCTCCTGGCGATGCCAGAAAGGTAGCCACCAGTGTCGTTGGCGACCAAAGGCGAGATGCACTTGACCTCACTGGCCCCAGCATTGTGGGCGCCGGGCAGTGCCAGCTCGCAGATGCTGCGAGATTTTGCCTGTGGTGGCAGCTTCTGCATCCAAGAGTCGAGCGGAACGGAAGCAACACAAGCCGCAGAAGCCATGGCCCCAAGAGAAAGCGCGCTTAAAGTCGGGAGGACCACAGTGGCTTGTGTATCCGGCAGCAAATACTGGGGCGGGGACTTCGGGTAGGGCCTCTGAGCCCTTGCGATTGCCTTGCACAGCCTCTTTTGCCGAGCCCTTTACGAAACTCGTATCCGAAACAACGCACAATCGAAGCTCATTCTGTGCTTGAGGCCTGCACTAGAATCATGACCTCTAGACGTAGACCTATGGATGAAGTGACAACAATAGCTAGTGCGTGCACAATCCCGCAACAAGAGCCTCTTTGCAAGATTTGCCACTGCAAGCCTCGACCCAACCCGACGGTCCTACCACTGCCACCCTGGAGCCCTAAATTGCATGAAAGAGATCCTCATACAACTTATACAACTGAGCCCTGCAGAGAGGCACCCAGAAAGTGTGGGCGCAGTGGGTGACCAGCAAAGGTCTGCAAGGCGTGGAATTTGGCATAGAAGTCGCCTCGGAGTCTTTGACAGGGGGATGGGGAGCGGGGGCGACTCGATTCCCGAAGCCCTCACATTCAACATCCCTCAAACATGCCAGCTTATTCTCAATGCGTACACCGAGAACATGGGCTTTGACTTGAGGCTACCAAGCGCGCGCCTACGCAATCGCCAACCATCCGGGCAGCATGCTTCTGCGGTTGTGCACGTGCACTGAGTCACTGAGCCTTCTAGGTGAACAGTAGCTCTCCGTTCAAGAGTAGGGTTCAGGGCGCCTGCTGACGAAAATAAAGCTCTTGGATAAGAGGAACACATGCTTTTGCTGTCACTAGCCTTGATCCCAAGAAAAGAAGTGAACCTCTGCAGCACGTTTAGGGAAATGCCTTGCGACTACATGACATAACATGACATCCTGCAGGCCGGTCGTCGCTCACTTTGCTTTCCGGTGGAAGCTGACATGTGCTAGGGGTATTCAACTGGACTGCTGGGCGATCCTGCCCTGCAAGTCCGGCAGAATCCGTCGGCTACTTGAAAACTTTGGCTCTGGGTCTTTTTGTTAAGCTTCATGCTTCGGAAGGCTAAAGGGCTTTGGCGTTGATGTCTTAAGGGGAGCTTTGCAGCCAACCGGAAGAAAAATAGCGCAAAGGTCTTTGCTTGCTGCCGGTTTTCAGCTTGTCTCTTGCAGCCTCCTCCACAGCTCGGCCAGGGCGCCCACGTGGGGCGTTTGGGATCCGCGCCACAAAGCCCCTACACACCCCTAAATACCCAAACCCTGAACCTCAGAAATCCTTGAAGTGGCTACTTTTCCAAAGTAAGGGTACCCTCTTATCCGAAACCCCCCAAACGTTGGTACAACCCCATTTTGGGAAGCCCAGACCCCAAACAGATTCAGCGTGGTAAGGAGGTTCAGGGATTTAGGGCTTCGATCAAGGGTTTCTTAAGAGCTTGAAGGCTTTCAGGGTTTGAGGGCTCATGGGCTTGCGGCTTGGGGGTCTAAGGGCCTAAGGGTCTGGGTACTCGGCCGAAGGGGGCTCAGGAGACTGAGCGTGCCGGCTGAGGGTTTAGGGACAGCCCCCACTCAAACCCCCCCCGCAAGCCTACAAACCCTAAACCCTGTAGTGTGTGCAACCCTTTAGAAACCTTACAAAACCGATGAAACCCACAAGCGGCGCATAAAGCCTACACCCACTACAAACCCTATGAACCCTGCAAGTCCATAAGCCCATCAAACCCTGGAAAGCCCTCCCTCAAAACCCCCGTGAACCCCCATAAACCCAACAAACATGGCCCACCCTGGAAGCTTCGGAGCTGCAGGGGATTGTCTGGGCCTGCGGGGTGAGACGCCCCGTTTGAGCTGGGGCCCGTCAGGCCTGAGAACGAAGAAGGATGGGGCTGGATTAAGGTTTAGGGTTTGGAGTTTAGGGTTTGGGGTTTAGGGTGGCAGAATGGCTCAGAAGCGGTTGAGTGCATCGTGCTAGGCGCTTGGCTGCCTGATTGTAGAGGCCATTGTTCACCTCATCCCGAACCCCTCTGCTGAGGAGGTTCTGCACCCCCAGCCAGTGCTTGTTAAGCCTTCTGAAAGACGCCTGCAGACTGAACATCCGGAACACATTCTACCTCCAGGAGTGCCTACCCGGTAACGGAATGTTAGGGGGTTTAGGCTTCCAGGTTTAGGGTTTAGGGTTTAGGCTTCGGAGAGCCCCGCCTTGTCCCAACCCGACGTCTCTCCAAACTACATGCGCAGACCGCCTGAATTAGCGTTCGCAAAAGATCAACCAGTGGACCATGCGCTGCTTGGGTCAGTTTATAATCAAGCCAATCTCCGCTGTGAACCACAATCGATGTACTTTTCGTAAAGTACTCCCTTGGGTCTTATGGTAACAATTTTGACACAAATTATTCACAAGAGACTACGGTACCCCTCTACGCCATCCAAGCAGCTGCAGGTCGAACGGGGCTGATATCTGGTGCAACTGTCAGATGCTGGCAGTGGCAACGCCCGCCCAGTTTTGGGTTAAGCGTTGAAACGGTTCAGAATTTTAGGGTCTGCTCAGGGCTTGAAGCACAACAAGCCAACTCACAACACTATGCACCGGACATCATCTGCAGTCGGAGCTGCACCTGTCTCGGTCTCGAGCGCGTTTGCGCCGTTCCATAGACAAGGCTGCAGCGCCACAATTCGGGAACTAGCCCGCTTTGTTATTCATGGCATTTGTAGCACTCAGAGGCTCAAAACCTGAGATGTTTCACAGGGAAGTGGGTTAGGGTTTAGCTTAGGATTCAGGGGCCTGGCTTGCAAGGACAAACCAGCTCCGTTCATACACTAGCAATCTTCAGAATACCGAACTCGCTCATGACGCGTGTGCCTCCTTCCTCACATCCACCTAACTTTGGAATGCTGATCTCACAGAAGGAGCCGGCATTGCGCAGCAGAACCAAAGCCTCTGTAAGCCGAGTCACGGAAATTGATCTCATTCTTGCCCACTTCGCGGACAGTTTTGTGAATGTGATCTATTTGCCTCAGATCACCCAGTCGGCCGATAAACAGCGAAGGAATGGTAAAATTTCTCCGAGCCAGCAGAAACTGCGGAGCACTATGAACACTTTCATGGGCCGGGTTTGATAAGGATTTCTCAACATTTCTCAACAAGCAAGGAATTATGCTGCTGCAGGTGGCTTGGCAGGAGTCGGCGATAAAGAAGTCCAGAGACAGTGAAGCCCCGTGCTCATGTCTGACCATAGCCCTGGATGCTGAACATCCTTACCGAAGCCCTCAACCACTTCCCAAGGGCGGCCTGCCTCTGGACATGGCAAACCCGAAATGCAAAACATCTCAACCCTGAACCTTACAAACTCTCAAACACTTAAACCATCAACCGAAAAGACAGGGAGCCACAGGATGTGAGCTTGCACTGCCTGCTCCACTGTCTCCGGCGAGAAGACCACACATCGAGGCCGGCGATTTATCCTTGGCTCAGGGCTTCGGGGTTGGGGGTCCTGGGCTCTCAACACCAATGCTGGCCTAAACCACAACAGCAGACCTCGATCATGTGTGACTCACATCAAACCTTTCTCTAGCCCTGCCTTACGAGCCCTACCTTACGAAACCGTATCTACTCTTCTGCGGGTTACAACTACGAAAGCCCGACGAAGAGCAAAGACACGAACCCTCCTTGCCCCAAACAGGCAATGTCGGCGCTTGCGCACTTGGCCAGAGCCCCTCGTCTTGCTTTGGGCTCGTTGAGGGCTCCCTGAACTTAACGTTGGGGGGGGCGACTCTCTGAGTTGAGAATTCCTTCAGACATGCAAAGCAAATATTTTGGGAACACCTTTAGCATACTTTCAGAAAATACTACGGACCAGCTCATACTGAAAGGCTCGTGTTTTTGAAAGACCCCAAACCCCAACTGCCGACGTGCTCAAACAACCTGACCCGGGAGCAAACAACGGTTCTCAAAGCCTTAGAGCCACCTCCACAATGTCAAGGGGTACCCTGAGACAATTCTTGAATCATCACATGCCAGGCTCCTTTCATCAGCAGGTAGGCAAAGACCACGATTCTCGTGATGCTCCTTTATGACCTTGGAGGGCTCTCCCATCACTGCATCTTCGTCCATAAAAAGCGAACCCTCAACCCGCCCTTCTGTTGCGCTCTGAGCCTCGAAGCTTCTAAATGAGACGAGGCCCCAAGAACGATCAAAGCCCCCAGCCCCCCCCTAGCTGCCCAGCCACTTGCAAGACGTCGTCGGCAGTTCCGATGTCAAAATGGTGGAAGGGTCGATGCAAAACGAGCCTTGGATCCGTCATACTGTCATTGCTGAGAGTCCTTCCTCAGTCGTTCAGCGGCCTTGAGATACCTGCCGAAACCCTAAACTCCGTAAACCCCACGCCAGCCGAACTGCCTCCAACTAAGTGCGTGCCAGAAGCATGTCGGGGTTCATGATCAGAGCTCTGGCAAGGCTTATCTTGACCTCAGGGTTTGAGGTGTAAGGTTCGGTGCGTAGGGCGTAGAGTCACACCGGTGGTTGCTCTAAGTTATCCGCAAGTGCTCTCAGAGGCTGAAAAGTCTCCATGCTGAACTGGCGCCTTGTGAGCGCAACCTCGCCTGATCATAGCCTTCCCCCTGGAGCACGACCCAGGTCATCATACTTCGAGCTCGAACCCAGAGACGAGGCCCCAAACCCCAGCCCCAAATCCCCTATACCAAAAACCTCAAAGCCAGCTCAAGAGAAGATGAATGAGTTCACGCGTTTTTGGTCAGGGGGGCGTTGAAGGGCTCTGGGAGATTCATGCTGTGGATGAAGCGCCATCCGAACAAAAACTTGGCAAAGAATCCTTCCCCACTTGCAGGGCTGTAGAATTGTTCTGGCCACTTTCGATTTCAAATATATGGGAATTCGCATAAATAAGCCTCTGCTACCTAACCCGACATCCCGATTGAATGCTCCTGGCGTCGAGCCTCTACTCAACTACTGTCGGCCCCTGTATTGACCAGGAAGCCTAGAAATTGACAAGTAGGGGGTTTTGGCGTGTCGGCTTCAGAGCATAGGCATAGGAGTCACACAGTTAGCTCCGTAGGTTTACGCCAATATCGAAGGAATCCCAACCCACGGCTTCCTTCGCCCTTATTCACCTACACCTCTCAACAAATCAACAAATGAAACCCTTAATCAGTTAATCTGCCTCCAACTACGGAAACCCCCGACATCTGCGACCTGCCCCTGCCAAAGCCAGGGAGCCTTCTCCGTGTACGTCAATGGTTCTTGCCACAGGTGCTTACTGGACTCCTGGTGCCGGAAGGGTGTAGCGGCAGTGTAGCGAGGGTAGTGGGGATGGGATGCTTTATTCGGGGGCTATCACGTCGATGCCGCGACTAAACCTGAAGGACAACTGAGGGCAAAAACTGCTTCAGCACCAAAGCCAGCCTGCTTGATGTCGGCTTCCAGATCAGCCGCCTCTATGTTTGGCAGCTCCACATAAGTGCCTGTTCGGCATCCAGCTGAAATTGCGTGCATGCATCTTTCATCTTTTCGTGAGACCACCTACACACGACTTAATGCCCATGCGCATCATATTTATCTGTGTAGGGCCCCGTATGTGCATGTACATAGAAGTATGCTAAATGCATATGCGCATGCATGCGCACACACATACACACGTGCAAAGAAAACATCTTGGATCAGCAGCTCCTCTGTTCATAGGAGTGTGTGTGTGTGGGTGTGGGTGCATGCGTGCGCGTGCTCCTTCACGCGTGAATAAGTTCTGCATGTGAGTGTGCGTGCGCATGAGCGTGTGTCTGCTCATGCTCGTGCTCGTGCTTGTGCATCTGCGCATGCATTAACTCATACACGTTGTGGGTCTACAAGTGAAGGCACACAAGCATTTTTGCCTAGGCTACTGGCGGCCTGCACGACACAGAACATGATTAGGGCATTCATTCAACTGCGAGTAGCGCAGCCTGGGCCTAGGCCTGATACGTGCAATATGATATGCTGATATGGCCACAACATCCTGTTCTTGACATCGCTCAACAACCACATTCTTGTTTCCATATACATCATCTGTCGGGGGGTTCTCTGAAATGCCGTCCCCGCCCCCCGCCTCCTGACATGCTTAGCGTGCGCGAGCTCCTGCATCGCGTCTGCAAGTCTTCACGAATCAGCAAATTTATAAAAGCTTTTTGGGGGTTCAGATTCTTGACCTAAACCCAAGGCTGGCACTCGGGGCTGTCCTCGGCTCATTCTGATCACCGGTTAAAGGCCTGGGCACGAAATTGAGGCAACCATGGAGTCCAGGTTTGTCGACGTTTGTTTTTCTTTCTGGGCAATGGGGATTTAGGATTCATGTGGCATAATGGAACAATCTTAGGGTATCAGAACCCACTAAAGAGGGTAAGGGACCACACCTACCCTCAGAAACTCCAACCCCCACAAACCCTAGAGTCAGAATAATCTCCCAAAGGAAGAAAGCCACAGAATGCCCGAAGAAGCGCCCAAAACACACCTGAAAGCCCTGGATCCCCAAAGGCCCGAAACCCTAAGAACCCAGAAGCCTCTACATGTCTCTACATCATCCAAAGCTCAAGCATAAAAAAAAAAAAAAAACAAACGAGAAAGCATCTCAGAGCCCTGAGCCCCCGAAAACGCCCTGAAACTCCAAAACCTCTGCGCGCGACTCGGCGAGATCCGAGATCTTCTCCACGGGAGATCTGTTTGGTTGCCTGATGCCTCCCAAAGCATCCGACAGTTGACCCGTGAACTCAGTCCTTTCACGTTTTTTCGCCCTTTTGCGGGTGTTGGGCTTCTTGGTTTCTAGGTGTGGCTTGCCTGGCCTCTCAGATCAAGGGCAGAAGTTTGGAGAAGCTTGGGCCAGGTTCTTCAGAGTTGAGGAGCGACAACGAGTTTCGAGTGGCTTTGACAGCGTTTCAATACCGACAGGGTTCTTTGTCGGCCAAACCCTTTGAGAAGAGAAGATAAGAGAAGTGATGAGTCTCGTTCCCACGCTGGCAGACACTTGAAAGGAGTCTTGTACGGTCTTATGATGTCTTACGCGTCTTCCACTCACCTGCAGCGGAGTGTTCAAAGAAGGGTGGCGACCAGCAGGGTTTGGCCACAGAACGCCTTGTTCGACGTCCGAGTTCCCGGACGTGGGTCCGCCCATCTCGGCCCTCAGCATGTTCTTTGGAGATATACTGCACATCATGCGTCGTGCTAGCCGCAAAACGACCATGTTCTGGCCATGTTGTCGATGTCGAATTTTCACACATGCGTGTTCTTCCAAACCCTACCCTGAAACCTCAAAGCACATGCCAAAAAGTCTGCACCTGGTGTTTCCGCGGCAAGTCTGGCAGTAAAAACGATGTGCTGGAGTGCAGAGACAATGTAAGTCCACAACCACCGTTCCTCAACTCAACACGACCTTCTTCAACAACCCGACCATCTGCAGCCAAGCATCTCCAGCGTCTCCAACACATGCTTCATTTTCAGGTGCTGCAAGACTCCCTGGCATCTGGGGGCAATGACTAGCGTCAGCTACAACAGCTCAACGTTGCTTCTGGTGACGTGCGGCTAAAACCCTCTCCTACATGGAAGATGAGGTTTGGGCCTGGATCATGGTGCTAACCCTCAACCCTACACCCCCTGAAAATTTTGAGCTTGATGACCGCAAACCCCTAACATCGCAAGCCGAGAGGGGTTCAATGCAATTGCTTGCAACCCCAAGCCTGAACCACTGTCATGTCTGCAAAATCTGGCGCGCCGTACGTGAGATTCCTCGGGTGCGAGGGCCCAAGCGTTCACCCTGAACCCTGCACTCCAAGAATCCCTAAGATCCATGAGGGTTCCGAGTATAGGGGTTTCATGGGGTTTCGTTTTAGGGGATGCTTACGCTTTGGATGGGGTGTAGGGCGTAGAGGGCTTAGAGGCTTAGAGGGCTTAGAGGGTCAGGTTTGTGTGGGGCTTAGAGATTGGGAAGTTTGGAAGACCCTCAGTCTGGGCGGATTCCCTACTGTAGTGTTTTTCGGACCCTGCGTGGTCCTCCCAGCCGAGAAACCCCCCGGAATGGAGCAACATGCTCGACAGTACGTTTATCAGGACCCAACTCCCTTTCGACAAACATCACACGGCATTGTGGTTTTTTGGGTCGGGTCGAGGCTGTCGACAAGCAATCTAAAGGCCCAAGTACTTTTGGTATTCCAAAGGGCCCGTTAACAATAACAATATGATAATCCTGTGCGCTCACCATATTTGTTCGCTTAATAACAGTGTTCTCGTCCGCCACAAAGGGCCTTATTGTCAGGGCCCCTGATTATGCAGGCGTTTGTAAAAAATGTAGAAGTGTGTATACACATATCTATATATACATATATATATATATATATATATATATATATACATACATACATACATACATACATACATACATACATACATACATACATACATACATGCATGCATGCATACATACATACATACATACATACATACATATATATATATATATTATAAGAGTGAAAAAGGCTAGAACCATGTACCTTGAAAACCCGTGAACTCCAGGCGGCTCCCAAACAGAGGCATCTAGCAGAACGGGATCCTGGGCCACCTCGAAGAGTTTTCGGCTGCGCACTCCAAGAGCAGTTTATGGTTAGGGTGGAAGATGAACATCTCAAGCGACAACTGTTCTCGGCTGCAGACTCGTGCGTGCGTGCGTGTGCGTGTGCGTGTGCGTGTGCGTGTGCGTGTGCGTGTGCGTGCGCGTGCGCGTGCGCGTGCGCGTGCGCGTGCGCTTGCGCGTGCGCGTGCGGGTGTGCGTGCGGGTGTGCGTGCGGGTGCGGGCGCGTGCGGGTGCGCGTGCCGTGCGCGTTGCGCGTGCGCGTGCGCGTGCGCGTGCGCGTGCGCGTGCGCGTGCGCGTGCGCGTGTGCGTGTGCGTGTGCGTGTGCCTGTGTGTGTGCTCAGCCGAAGACGAACACACACAACACGGCCATGGGTGGTTCCTGACTATTGCCAGTACCGCCACTCCATACACTAGCCTCCTGCTACCAGGACACAAAAAGGACGCGAAGGTGAGTTGGCACGAAGACAGAGCCCTCATCTGGAAGCAGTCTGCTGGAGATCAGCCGCAGGAAGGTGTTCCTAGGCTCGACTTGGCAAGGACTAGACTGCGATGGCTGCAGGCAGCTGGACTGGTATCTCCTTGAACAGGGGTACGGTACCTCATATGTATCCCCCAGATACGATGACCCTTACTCTTGTTGGAACCCGAACGGGTTTGGGAGACGTAGGTTGAGGGTTCACGTGTAGGACTTTATGTTTAGCGTTTAGAGAAAAGCGGCAGTTCCCGGAATGACAACTACAGACTCTCCCCTACAGTTCCCCGTGCAATCTCAAGGATCCACGAAGAACGTTCCCAATAAGGACCTTTGGGCAAACCTTTGCTGCTTCACCCAAACTCTAAGCCCACAACCCCCTAAGCACTAAACCCTCTGAGAAAGCCAGCCTCCCACACTTTCATTGCAGGCCAGGCATCTTACCAGACCCGTGCACCCCAACCAATGCCACCTGGGCTTCCGCACCATGTGCCAAAGTAGAGTTGAAAGGTTAGGGCTTGCGGTTTCGGGGTGGCAAAAGGTAGGTGCAGGTCAACGGTGGCAGGACTGAAAGCTTCGCGTGAGTTTGATTGAACACTCCGTGCGAGTCTGTGCCCTCTCTGGCTGCTGCAGGCCGAAGCTCTCACACGCATCAAAGCAAAGATTCGAGATGTCCACGCGGGCAACCCATGGTCTCTGATTGCTGTGGCGGGGCTATTCTGCCAAGCGGAACATGAAGGAGGCCGACGTCCTTCAGCAGTTGCCTTGCTTGAGTTTACGGTTTAGGAGATAGATGAAGTCATGTTGAAGCACCATGCCGAAACGCCATAGTCCCACTGTCGCAGCAAAAGGATGCGGACACCCTAAACCTTGCAACGTTGTTTCAATGCTGTTGGTCTAACACTTCGTTATTGCGATTACTACTCTGACTATGATCAAACAAGTTTAGCTGGGGGTTCTTAGTACGTTTGAAGGAAAAAGTTTTTGCGTTCATGTGGATGTCTCACGGCACGACTCCTAAACGTTGTCTCCCAGTTGTCTCCCATTTGTCACGATCCTGGCTGCTGCGACGCCCATCTGGGACTGGTTGTCTGCCTTTTTGTCTCGACCTTGGCCCTATTTCTCTCCCAGTCGTCGCCATTTTTGTGATGAGCAGACCCTTGGATGCTGTGGCGCCCGCCCGGGACTGTTGTCTCCACGCTGCTGCGACTGTTGTCTCACATTTCCCTCCCATGCGTCTTGACGCTGGATGTTGCGATGCCGGTCTGGGACTGTTGTCTCACATTTGTCTCCCAATTGTGTCCTCTGTGACGCCCGTCTTATACTTTGTTTTTCCCCGCAGCGAGCGGTTGCCGCCCGACTGAGATTGATTCTCTCCAAGGTGTCTCCCCTTATAGTACCCACACTTGGATGCTGTGACGTCAGTCTGGGACTGTTTGTCTCCCAGTTGTCCGGGACCCTGGACGCGGCAACACACGCTTGGAACGATTTTTCTCCCGCTTCTCCAGGTGTCTGCCAATTCTCTCCCGTTTTGAAGTGAGCAGATCCTGGATGCTGTGACAACCAATTACCTCCCGCTCGTCTCCCTTAGTGCAGGGAGCAGACCCTGCATCTGAAATTGTATGTCTCCCACTTCCCTTGTTGTGCCCTTACTTGTGTCCCGTTTGTCTCCCACTTGTCTCCCTTCGTGAAAACACCAGACCCCGGAGGCTGTGATGCCTGTCGGGGACTATTTGATTTGTCTCCCGTGAAATTAGCTGGCCTTATGGAGGCTGTGAGGCCCGCCTAGGACTTTTTGATGCGGCTGTGGCACGCCGTGACGGCAGATTCACGTGGTCAAAAGCAGTCGTCTTTGCTGTTATCCACGGGATGAAAAGCAGTGGTCCTGAATTGTTGGGGGTTGAGGCTGGTACCATTGTTAGTATGTCGTTCAGGCACTGGTCTTTCCTGTAGCCGAAGGAGAGGTGTTCGATCTTCATCTCCATAAGATCGGTCCTGCATCGCAGTACAGAAAGACACCAGCAACATGACGAGCTACAGGGCTTCCGGGTCCAGTTTAGGGTCTGGAGCTTGTGTGAAACATGTGGGCAGGCTCGTGGCTGTGCCTATATGAACTTGGCTGAACCAGGAATTGAGGATGCGCGGGCGTCATCTGACAGAACAGTTACAGGTAGTGCCCATACGAACCCTGGCACTCAATGACATTCATTATAGCACCAAAGAAGGCACTTAAACCCTTGGCTCTGAACCTAATGCTAATCATCCTAAAACTCCCAAGCCTATTTGGGCCCATCCAGACACGAAAAGCCCTATGCCCGTCAGTAAATCTGCAACCTACAATAAACCCTCAAACCTCCTGTCCTGAGAAGCCCTGTTTCTGCTGGTGGCTCGGGAAGCTTCCGCGTCTCCTTCCGCGCCTGCGGTTTAGGGTTTAGGGCTTAGGGTCTAGGGTCTCTAGGCTTTAGGGCTTGGGGCTTAGGGTTTAGGGCGCAGGGTCAGGGTTCAGGGCTCGGATTCGCTTCAAACATACCAAGGCTCTCCCGTGCAAATGGCCGGGAAGAGGAGGGGAAGAGCGAGGCACTAGGATTCGGGTTTAGGGTTTAGGGCTCCTAGCTTCGGGCATCTCGGGCTCAGGACTGGCAGCTAGGCTTCTCGCCTGAAGCCTAAGCTTAAGATTTGTTTCATGCGTTAGCGGCTTTAGCCCTGGTGGTTTTAGAAGGCATGCTCATGGGATTGGCTTCACAAAGTAAGGATGTGCTTGGGGTTATTAAGGGTTAGGGTTGGGGGTTTGCTGCTTCCTGTTTGGCAGCTACGCAGGGCTTTGTGGCAAAGCTTGGGTGCAAGCCACCCCCAAACCCTAAAGCTGTGAATTCCAATTTCACCACTTTTCCCCTGTCGGTGCTCTTCTTAAACTTTACGCCTAAACCCTGCCCAGCCCTCGAACCGCCTCCAGGGTCAGGGCCCTGTTCCGGAGGTTGAGCTCGCGAAGTATCTTGGCCAGAGTGGGGTTTTTGGAATGGTTCGGGTTGAAGGCTTGGGGTAAAGGCGGTGCAGGCCTCGGGGCTCAGGGTTCAGGTTTGGAGCTCAGGGCATTGTACAGGCGTAGGGTCGATAGGAATCTGGGTCACAGCATCTTGAAACCCATGCACAGACACCTGCCTTTAGCATTTCGATACTAGCAGCACTTGCAGAGGCAGCTGTCAAGATGCGACCTTTGATTGAGGTCTGGGGAGGGGGGAGGAGAGGAGCAGAAGCCCAACCCCCCAGAGCCAGAATTCCAAGAGGCTGGAAGCTCCGATTCCATGTTGAAGAAATGAGTCAAGACCTGCACTCACGGAGCATGGCCTGAGGAGTTTCTGCAAAACTGGAACTTCCAACTACATGAGTCAGAGACTGAGCCCGTGGGCAGATCCTTTGCTGACCCACAGAGGCTTGACACCAACAACTTCTTTTTGTAGGACCTAGGGTCTAGGACTTCGTTTTTCACAATCCTCACATCATCTCAACTGGTCCCAACCCCAGACAGAGTCGTTTGCGGGCCTTCAGGGAGTCGATCCGGGTGTTGATACCTTGCTTTGCCATTCCAGCGACCCGACCAATGCTTGAGTGGAGCGGGCTTGGGGTTTAGGGCAGGTATGCTGCCGCGCACAGTTCCTACTTCAACCGCGTGGGGCTTCGGGTTCTAAGTCCTTAACCCTTGAATAAACCCAAGACGCTCTCACACACGCTGAACCCTTCACTCTTGTGGCGGCTCCAAGCCATTGGAGGCGAGAAGCTCATGAGCTCAATGAAGATGCCCTCAAAGTCGTTGGTCATGTCACCTTGGCCAACAAAAGGCGGTCGAAAAGCTCTCGCTGCTGAGAGTTCAGGGATTGGAGGGCGTAAGGTCAGTGGGGGTTCAGGGTGTACATCGCTTACATAAAGAATCCTAAACCTTGAGCCGTTCAAGCCCTTGAGCCAAGGATTAGGCCCGCCGCAGCCTTCGCTTCAAGACCCGGCTCTTTTCTCAGGGCTGTGGGCTTGCGGGATTTAGGGCTTGCAATTGCGCATTCCTGCACTGGCAGCCTTCTAGACCTGTCAGAGTTCTGGGTTCCCTGACTTTCCAGAATCTGAGTGATCTGAATGGTCAAAGGAATGCAAAAAAGTGGCCGGGGGGTTGGATACAGGTAGGGGGGGAGTGGGTGGATCTCAATGACGGCCCATAGGCTAGTAGTTAAGGAATATGGACAAGATAGATCTCCCAAACGAACCCACAGCTCAGAGAGCTGAGGAGTTGAGTTCTGCCAGATCGTTTGGCTTCCAGCCGAGAAGCGTATAGAACAAGCAGACCAGGATCTGCCCCCCCTTCCCCCTTTCCTCCAGCCAGATACTGGACCCAAACCGTTTGAAGGAGCCAAAATCCGATGCTGCCGGGGTTCCAAGTTCCAAGGCTGTGGGCTCAGAGGTCCCAGGGACGCCCCCTGAAACCGCTTGGACCGCTTCTGGGACGCTGCTTCGGGAGCGCCTTCCCCTTGAGGCCTTGAGACTAGGACCGTTGCGCATGCCACCCCCCGCGTTGGGCCCAGCCCGGCTGCCGAGGCGACGCGCCCAAGAGTTTACAATTAGCTTCCAACGGCTGGGAGGAGGGCTTTGAAGTGAAAACACCCTCAAACAAAAAACGCAAGAGGGAGAACAAGGGGTGCAGGGGCTTTGTGGATTTGGTGGCGCCTAGTCTGCTAGCTTCGGTAGCCGCAACAGCCGAGGTACTGATGACGGAGATGATGGCCAAGAACACCTGGCCACAACGGGAAGCTGCGAGAAGACATGAGACAATCGCCCCGGACTACACCAATCATTTTACACCTGCCTTAGTTCAAACTCGGGAACCCCTTTGAAGCGGCCCTGAAGTGGCCCCCAAGCCGGCACATGCTGGGTGCACCCCCATGGACGTTGACCCATCGAGAACGCTCTCAGCAAAGAGTGCCTCGGGCTGCGGCGTTTCTAGTCTACGTGGTGCGGGATGGCGGGTTAGGCGGGTTAGGTTTGTTTGGTTGGGGATCAAGGAACTTTTTCTCGTCCAACCGGTGTCCATGTTCTGGGCTTCCCGAGGCTCTGGCAATGTAAGCGCCGATGAAAGTTGGTCCCAGCCACTGCCTGGCTGTGGCACGGGGTTTTCGGGTTTAGGGCATAGTAGCATGGGCAGCAACCCTCTTCCAAATCCACCCGCGGGTGGCCGAACTGTACTGTATGGAACTCCACCCCGGTTTCTCTCGAGAAGAAATTCGAAGTCAAGTCACGGGAAGTAGTTGTTGTTTAGCGCCACCTGCTGCTCGGGGATCACCGACAACCTTGCCTCAGTTGACGATGGGACTGGATCTCTGCCACAACTGCGATGTACTGGAGAATTGGGCTACTTTTACGACTGCTGCTGCAGATCTAGAACCTAAAGGTTTATCAGCCTACAGCTCGTCACCAGCTGCTCATGTTTGCTGTTTGCCCACCTCTCAAGCAGAGACTCGAAGACCCCGTAGACCATAGACTCCATAGACCCTGAAGCCTGAAGGCTGGAACCTTCAAGCCTCGGCCCCAACCCATAGCCTACAGACGAACCTATGGAATATGGCACCCTTACAAAAAAGAGCCTGGTTTGGAGAACTACCCGAAGCTGATACCAAAGTCGGTACTATAGGATTTTGTCTGGGAAGAGTAAGGTTCGAGGGATTCGTGGGGCTTTGAGGGATGATGGCTAAACCCTGGATCCGATCAAGCACTTTATGCAAACTCGCGGTAAATGAAACCCATGAAGCAGCCAAAACCGAAAAAACAACTAAACGTTTAAAACCTTATGAGAAGGTATCTGAGCCGCATTTTCCACACAAGGATCCTGATTGCACGCGCGCCTGGCTGTAACAACGACTCGGCATTGGCCTGTTAAAGCCCTTGGAAAATTCTTCGAAGAAAACGAGTTCTCGCAAACCTGTCACAACCCATTCAAGGTTGATAGGGGGCTATTTGAAAAAGTCAACTCTACCCCAAGTTGCCACGTACGACTTGCAGCTGGGGCACCAGGTTTGCCTTCTTTTCGAACATTTCGCTCATCACAGGTCGACGGCTGTACTCAGCAATCAAACTGTACTTGTCGCCTCGGCGCACAGTCTCGAAGTCATTTCATGGTTTACGGAGCCAGGAAAAGCCCCACGAGCTCATGAATGATGCCGGGAAGGGATACGGATACTTTGCCTACACTCTACACCGTGCACCCAAACACACCCGGCGACACCCGGGTCCTCGAACCACAAAGTTGGTCATATTCCTGCAAAGGGCTGACTAGGGACCCTTCGCCTTTGCGCGCAAACCAAATCTTACACAAACAGCATTTTTTGCACGGCTGTCTGCCTACCTTGGCCATTCAACTGCTCAACACAAGGCTTGTCTAAACGAGTCTAAACCTCAACCTGGTAACTATTGCAGGCAAGCAGGGAGAAGTAATATGCACTTGATTCTCATAGCTTCGGCTCTCATAGCCTCGGCTCTCATAGCTTCGGCACTCGTTTAGGGATCGAGAGCCAGAACCTTTTGAACCGAGCTCACCCGAAACCATGAAACCCAAACCCCGCATCAACATAAATACCCCTGAAAAAATCCATACCATGGATTATGTACACAAAGATGTGTATGTGTGTATATATATATACATATTCTAACCTTAAACCGTATACGACTACAACCTGGCATACACGTACGCAACATACATATATATATATATATATGTATGTACACACCCCACGCCAATTTAGGGTAAGCTCAAAACCACATATAACCCTTAACCACACACACAGAAATCTCAGCTCGTCGCAAGACTCACTGACGAAGGCCACCACCTGCTCACGCACAGCGCCAGAGATGCGGGTCACCTGCGCTGTGCTGAAACCACTTTGGGGCTGAAGGGTCTGTGGTTTAAAGGGCTAGGAGCCTTAGGACGCTTTGAGGATTAGGGTTGTAAGAGCGTTTGGAGCTTGAAGGGGCGCAGGCTTCAGCCTTGGACATCGCATCTCCGCGGATGACGCCGAAGAGGATCATCAGCGAGGGCATGAGCGCCACCACCCACCAGCAGGCGGGGTCCTGCTTCGTGACTCCAATAGCTGATTTTCAGGGCGGATTTGCCGTGGGGTTTGAAGGTTTAGGGCCTGTTGAGGTTTATGGGGCCATCTAGGGTTAAGCTGCAGCTGAGCGATGTTGAGCTTGGATATTGCCTGCTGATTGTCAACGAGGGACTCACTTGTTGTCTGAGTCTTTCCGCCTTGATGTCCACAGTACAGTTCGCCAGCCATATTCTTCAGGGTAGAGGGTTAGGGTTTCTGAGGTTTAGGGGCTTGTGGTTTAAGGTGCAAGGTTGCTGAAGCGCGGCCTGGATCAGAGTGAACATGACCATCAGCACCTTAGGCGTTGAGGATGGGACAGCCGAAAGCTCCGCAGACTAGGCCCTCGGGTTGTAGGGTCATTGGGTTTAGGGCTTAAGGTTGAAGAACTACATGCTAGGACTAGCAAGAACGGCGAACATGGCCTTCTACTTTTCGACGCCTTCTCAGCCAAGTCTCCTGAGTTGCCAAAGCGATCCCCCACCAAACTTCCACTTCCCTCAACACCCTAAATCAAAAGCTTGAACTGGCTGAAACCCTACGCAAAACTGTCAGCTCATCGATCTTGCTCCATCGGCAGGGCACGATGCGTCCTCCCATCTGAACGATCTCTAGCCTCCGAAGGAGAGGGTGTTTAGGATTTTGCGCCTGCGCTCACGGTATGCAGTGGGGTACTACCCTAAAAGCTCTGAACCCCAAACCCTGGACCTCAAAACCTCAACAATGCTGACAGACTGCCGTGCGTGCTCAACGGAACTTTTGCAAGGGAGGGGAGCATGGTCTACCCTCGAAGCCTACTGGCTGGCGGTTCAGAAACACCCTAAGCCCTAAACCCGAAACCCCAACCCCCAAACCCTAAACCAAACCCAGAAGCCCAAGAACCAAACCTGATCTTCTTCTGAGTCTGAGTTGCACCGCGCTGTAGGCGCTGGCCACATCGGTGCTCTCCTGGAGTCCGTCTTGCATCTCGCAATTGCGGATATTCGGCTACGAATAATCTCAGATTTCATAGGAAGCATATGTTCCCCCATACTTGGAAGCATCGTGTTCGGGCGGCTTCTTCTTCGCAAGGGTTCAGGATTGAGGAGTATTCGTTCAATGTAGGCGTCTGCTGGCGCAGCAGCAGAAGATCTCGTGCTCACAGGCACCACCGCCACTCCAGGGTGTGGCATGTGGCGCGAGTCGATGATGTCAGGGAACAGGAACCCAAGAGAGCGTGGCCATTCCATTCCTATAATTGTAGCCCTGTTGGGGATGTTAGGGTTGAGGGCGTCATGTCGTAGCACACCCCTGCACTCGGGACCTGAAAGAACCAGGAGCCCGCAGGTCTTAAAAAAAGTGCTTCTTTGGGAGGAGGCCCTGGTGGGGGCCGGGGAAAACCCCGCCTTTCACGACTCTGCCTGTGTGGACCAGCACTGGAGGCCTTCGCCGTACTTACCCATCCTACCCAGAAAGGGTGGTCACAGGCTGCGAATCAACCAACCTTCGTAGTGGGATACGGGCCCGGCAGAATCTAGGGTCCAAGGCCCTTGGGTTTGAGGTTGCAAGGACTTGTGGAGTGAAGGTATTGATGGATCGGCACTCTGCCTGAGTGATGGCGTGGTTCATTTGCGCCGGCGTCATGGAACGTCTCGACTTCTCCTTGGACGTCGGACATGATGAATGGCGCAAAATACGGGCCTCGAAAATAGTGTATTTTGGGGTACAATGTATTGCAACGATATCGGGAGCACGAGTGGATTGTAATTACAGAGTTGAGCATTGGGAAGTAAGTGGGGCAATAGTAGGAGTCTCATTTCTTGCAAGACCCCAACCCACCTAAACCTTGTCGTTCTTGCAGGTCCGGGCTCGCTGTAGTTCAGGTACTTCCGGAAGAGGGTCGTCTGCGAGCAAGCACAGCTCTCAAATAAGAGATGAGGCTCTGCAAGGCTTCGAATGATGTCCTAAAGGATCCAAGGATGTAGTGGTGCCTCTCAATCCTTCCGCCGGGCAAGGAGCATGGCAAGTAGCACTTAGCAGAAGTAAGCAACATGAAGCCAAGATCCTAAACCCTAAAGGGGCCTGGATGAACATCTTGGTGCGGCCTTGCACATCCAAGGACAACCTGAGCCAAGTCCCACCCAGGCGCCCTAAGCCCTACACCCCAAAGTTCAAACCAGCTGGCTGCTGTAAGATCTACAGCTTGGGACATTGCACTTCGGGTCTAGGGTCGGGCAGTGGGACTCAGCACACAAGAAGTTCCTTCCTGTAGTTCTTGCGATGTAGCAGACGCGTGGACCCAGCAGGAATGGGAGAGTCGTGCGGAATACCCGCAGTATCTACCTTCAACAGCAAAGATGGTTGTCGAAGTCTTTGCTGCAGGAACGATGGCCAACAAAAACGTCATGAACAACAGCAAGATTGAAAAGACCAGAGAGGGTAAACAGTGGTTTCGGCAACTGCTTGGTGAGAAGCCAGAATGGCGCTAGCCGAATCGTGGGAGAATGCTTCTCCGCAGCAACATACCAGGAGCGAGCTGGCTTGCAGCTGAGGAACTTGTAATAATCCCAGACGTGCAGGATTGAAAGCGGCAAGATGTAAAGGATGCCAATGCAGATGGCCTTGCTTAGTATCATAGTCCTTCCTTAACGCCTGAACGATCTAAACCCCGACGGACGAAACTCTGGCTCGAACCTGCTTCTCAACACAGTCGTGGCCTCAAACCCGGGCATGCATCTCCCTCGTCCGTGTATTCCTAACCCTAAACCCCCACTAAAGGTTTAGGGTTTGAGGGTTGTAGGGTTCAGGGTTCACCCTACCAGTCACCAGTCAGACCTAAGCCGCCACTCAAGTCGCGTCCCACGCACAGAGCATGCAAGCAAGGCTTTGGGGCTTCAGGGGCTTTGTTTGAGAGTTCAGGGTCTAAATCCCTCAACCCTGAAACCCCGAACTAACCCTGAGGAGGGCTTTCAGAATTGGGAAAAGGGCTCGTTGGAACTCCGACATATGCGAGGCAGAGAAGTGCCGAGGAGCGCAGAGGCGCCGATCCGGCAGGATCAGGCGCTCCTCAGATGTTCTGGTGTCCAGAACGACCTCGAGCTGCACAGATTTCGGGCTCGGGCTTGGGCTATTTCGGGCTTCGTCGGTTGGGGATCCAAAATATGTGGGCTCTTAATTCCCTTGTTCTATAACGGCCCATACTTCGGATCCCTATAAACAAGCGTAAGGGACCACACTAAGGGCCCGTGCTTCCAACCTTAGATTCGGGCTTCTTCGGGCTCCTTAGGGCTTCGTAGGGTTTAGGGTTTACAAGCAGGTCCGGCCGAGTCGCGTTGATGAGATACGTCTTCATCATTAACGTGAGCAGAAGGTATGCGTTCCTGGATGAGCTCTGTCAAAAGAGGGAAAACAGCTGAAGCGCAAGCACGCATACAACAACATGTCCGAGCCAGTCCCGAACCCAAAAAAAAAAAACTGAACACGATTTAGAAACCCCCTACCCTGAATCCAAAACACCCTCAAAACCCTTAGAAAACCGTTTCTCTGCCAGTCTGGGCAGCTTGAGCTGGTCGAAGCCCACAGTCAGCACAGTTCTGTAGCCCATGCCTTCGCCTCACTCCAAGCAAGTGAATTTTAGGGGTTTATGGGCTTTTTTAGGGTTGGGTGGGGAAAGGGGCTGCAATAGGCATAGGATGTAGAAGCCTGAGGGTTGAGGAACCCAGGGGTTTGGGGCTTGCCGGTGGGGGGGTTATTGCGTCTGGGCTTTCCATGCCAAGGGCTGCTGCCAAGCCGCTGATGAAGTTGAGCCGGAAGAACTCGAAAAATAGAGAGAAGCCACTGATGTTCCATATCGCGTCCTCAGGGAAAGCTCTCAAAACCACAAACCCTGAATCCGAAACCCTAAACCCCTGCATCACCCCCGCATCATCTGCCCAAAACGCCGGGTCCTCACCCTTCAAGATCTCTTCGCGGTGCTTGTTGCCAGGAAAGGCATCATCATCTATGATCTAGCAGGGGGTCATGGGCTCGGGGGCTGAAGCCTAGTCGCGGTTCTTCGGGAGGAGGAGAATTAACCCAGGGCAAGCCTGCACTGGGAGCTTGCTGTGTCAGCCCTGTTCCAACCTGCTCAAGCCTTGACAGCATTGTGATCAGTGACCCTTGCCAGGCCTTGACGCGACAGTACTGCAGATCTTGTCCAAGCCTCCATCTTACTCCATCTAAACCCACTTAGCTACCGGATTGCTCAGGTGCTTTCAGCCCTGAAACATTTCGAGGTTCTGTGCTGCTCAGCATAGTGCAATTTCTGATTAGGTTCACAGAGGTCTGTATCAGATAGCTATTGTGGACATGATGGCTGCTGGTCCCCTGCTCTGCAGGACGATGGGCAACAGCAAGTGCTGCAGTGGTCACTGCTAAGGGTGTGCAGTCTATAACCGTATACATGCCACCTGCAGTTCTGCGGATGGGTCAAGACGATCTTGAATTCAGTGGAAGGCGACCAGTTGTCATCGTCGTTGATTTCCTCGGCCGAAGCTCTGCATCTAGGAGTGAGACTGACAAAACGCCCATCGATTCCCAAAGCAACAGCTGCCAATGCCAAGGAACCCAAGTATATGCTTGCGCTTCGAATCTTGGTACTGCTAGCATGATGATTGTTCAACAGTTGCCCGTTGCTGAGTGGGGGCAGTATCCAAAAAACAAGAGCCAAGGGGCGCAGAACCTGATTTAACATCGCAAGACGGGAAGCCGACCCGAACACAATTTCAAAAGAATCAGAGAAGGGCAATAATGCGGGTATTCCTCCCAAAGTATGGGCGCCGACCCCCCCCCAACCCGAAAAACAAAAAAAAAAATGGCAATAATGTTGACATTATAAATAGACAAATCAACACACACATATATATATATATAGGTACATATACATATGTATCTATATAAATATAAATATATATATATATATATAGTTTGTTTTTATTTATTTATCTATTTAGCTATTTATGCATTGTTCATATTTATATGTGTATATACCCCAAAACATTGCATGCGAGGAGCCCCTCAACAGGGTATGTCGATTTTGGACCCCCCACCCCGCCCCCCCACCCCACCCCCATACCATGGCTTTGCTTGGGCCCTGGCGACCTGGATCTCCTTGTGATCTTCACCATTCTCAAAAATCAACTCGCCTGCGAGAAGCTGTCTTAGGGTTTAGCGTTTAGGGCTAATGTACCGCCTGCTATCTCGAGCAAACAAGCCTCGAAGCCGCGAACCAAAGCCCAGAAATTGAACTCGAAAGACAGGGCTACAGATGGGTGTTTAGACAAGCATCTCATAAAACACTATAGGGCTTCTGGAAGCCATGTACAAACTCTCATTAGGGAAACTACTCACCTCAAAGAAAGTTCGGCTAACCCTACAGCGTACTCACCCTCCCACACTACACAAAGCCCAAGAGGCCTGAAGAGCTTTCGTACTCGCGACCGGCCAGCGCGCTAGCATCAACTGTGTGGTACTTCACCTGATTCGCACCGTAAACTCAACAGCACAGGCCCGGATCCTGTGGAGTCTTAGGAGTAGGGACATAGGGCCGAAGCTCCTCAAGAAATGAAGACCGCCACGATTGCAAGCGCACGATTGCAAGCGCACATTTCAGCGTGTACGACGAAAGCTCTTGCCGGAGCAGAGTCCGCGATATGTAGCCTGCATAATGTTGGGCTTCTCAGCTACTTAGCTCGATGCTTGCAAACTTACAGATGCCGAGGTGCGCTTAGCCTTCCCTTGAAGGACCCCAGCCGCATAACATCGATCGTAAGAGGAGATTCACCCTCCTGCGCATAGTAGAGCTGGCAGCAGAACCTGAGCTCCGTGTTGGATTCTTGGATGCAAGTCCTTCTGCCTTTTGCTCCAAAGACCCAGAAGCGAAGAACACGTTCCCACAACAAGGCCCGCACTCCGAAAGCAAAAACGGGAGCCCTTGTTCTGCCAGGGGTCTGCACAATATCGCTGTCTCGGTTCGCCATTGCCAGAAACCTAAGAGAGAGCCGAGGTTCCCAAACCTCTGAATATCCCCGCATTGAGAAACATTTCCAATTTTTTAAATTGGCATTCTGAAAAGAGCTGCAGGCTCATGAACTCTCGTTGCAGGGGATTTCGCCCTAAGAGCAAGCTTGTAAAAGGGAGATGGAGTTACCCTATATATATATATTTATATTTATTTATTTATTTATTTATTTGTTGATATTTATAATTGTATCTGTATTTATATTTGTGTATATTTATCCTTTTATTTGTTTATTTTTGTTTACTAACTTTTTAATTTTTTCTTTATATAGGTCCGACTTGATGGACAGCTGAGGTGCGCACTCCCTGGATGGCAAATCGCACTGCGTAGGGCAGCAAGGTCGAGTTCCACAGGCCCTCTTTGTGCGTGCTTGCTGATACTCGACGGCGGTGTCAGAGACAGGAGTTGCAATGTGTTGCTTGCTAACTTAAGCTACCACCTGAAAGGCCGCTCTTCTACCAAACAAGGAAAAATCAAGAGCTGCGCTCCACTTTGAGCCGCTGGGCAGCGCAGAGCTTGTTCCAGTCCAGGGTTGCAGTTTAAGGCTTGGGCCTTCGGTCGAGACATGGTGCTGACTTTGGGTGGGACTATTCACAGGCCTTTGGACGTTAATACACTCATGAGTGATGTGCAACATAATGCTCCAGCGACCATAACCTGTATGCTTAAGTTCCAGCCTCCTGCCAACAACAAGCTGCAGACCCCCTGAGCCCTCAACCCGAAGGCCTGAACCTCAAGAGCCCTGAGCCCTAACACCGAACACCTCATGTCGCGCTCCATGCTCAAGGCTGTGAAGCTGCGCCACTTCGTGGCATCACAGAGAGCTAGGATTGCTAAGATGTTGATTCGCGTACAGTCCGGCGACTCGTGGAGCCCGAAATCGCAGAGTCAAAGCGACCCTCTCCAGAGGTTTACTTTTACTTCACATGACCCGAGACCGGAAATACACACGCGGAGCTGCAGCTGCCCTCCTTCAGAGGACGGGCACAGCGTTGGGAACATCCCTGGTACCCCCTGCCTAGACCTTCGGTACAGCGCAATGATCCCGGTGGTCACAGATGATCGAAACAAGATGGTTGCACTGCCCTAAAACACCAAAACCTGCAAGACGATTGAGGCCCTAAAGCTTCGGGAGATCACGGAATCCAGGCCAGCTCACGGAGCCGGCATCCGGGCCCCCGACCTTAGAATCGTTTGTTTTTGAGCTCAAAGTTAAGCGGTTTAGGGTGGAGGGGTGGAGGGGCTAAGGGGATGAGGTTCACTTGTGCAAACCAAAATTGATCACTTGCGGCTATAAAACTGTTCGATCTTGTGACTACATCATCTGCTCACTTCCCCGTTACAAGCTTGGGGAGTGATAACATCCTGAATCCCAACCAAGAATGGAGTTAGTCGCTGCCTCCCTGCGACCCCTCAAACACTTTTCCCTCGCTGAACCTATTGATTATGGAAGAGTTGCAATTCCTCAAGCCAGAAAACACCCCTGGGCGACAGAGCAATTGCGGCGCCCGTGGAACGGGGAAGCGCCAGCCGTCCGGCTGTCGCCGGTCGCGTCGTAGAGGGCGAGGACGCACACCTTTCAGGCAGGGCCAGGATATGGCTTTCAACTTTCAACTTGCTCTGAGCATGGAAATTCGGGAATCAGGCTTCCCTTTGGTCATCCCCTCAAGGGTAATACAGGGGGATATAATGCATCTACTTCCCTAACTCCTCCGAAGAACCAGCGAGATGTCGCTTTCCAAGCCACAGTTTGGATTCTGTTGGGGATTCTTACGCTGTCATTGACATCGGAACTGAAGACTCGTCTGCACCTGACCCATTCCCTCTGCTCCACCCTACCTACCTCGCCAGGGACTCATACGATTGTGGCAGACGCCGTCGCGTGGCGGAAACCTCCACACTTGCTGGAAGCTCGGGCATAAGGCTTGAAGGCTCATGGAGTTCGTAGCTTGGAGTGGGAACGCCAGTGAGGACTGGACCCTGCCTGGCGTGTCGGCACTGCAGGTGCTGGAGCATCGGAGCCTGACAGAGCTGAAAGGGTCTCCGGTTTAAGTGTCTAGGAGGGCGGGTCTCGGCCAGTCAGGTCTCCAGAACATACCGCCGCAGCTGCGAAGCCGAGCTAACAGCCAAATCCGAGTGTGTGACGAGTGCGGAGGCAGACGCAGTACGGAACGCCGTCCTCTTCCCGATCGACCTCCCACCATCCGAATATCCCCAGGCTGTAGGCGGGCATTGGACTTTTCAGGCTGAGGGTTGACGGGGGGTTTAGGGTTTAGGGTTCTGAGTCGCGTTGTTGACTTTGGCAGAAGAAGTGACACATGTGCGCTGCACTTCCCTGCCTCGGAGATCTCGACGGCAATGAGCACTTTGTCACTGCAATCAACCTAGAGCTCACAGCATGCGAAGTTCAAGCGCATAGATGCCCTGAAACAACCCGCCGCCTGTGAAACCGTACCCTGTTGCTATTGAAAGCAAGCGTCCCGCCTGGGTGAAGCGTTTACTTCGCTGTGTAACAACAAGGCCGATTTGTTGCGGGTGTTGTTGCGAAACGTTGGGTTTTGCAAGATTGTGGGGTCATTTTGTGGTTGGGAGTTCTGTGCAGTGCACTCTGACAACCTTTTCGGGTGCATCTTCCTGTCGGGTTGGTGGGGTCCAAAGCCGTGCAACGGCTTTGCCTGTTTTGACAGGCAAATCTTTGCTTGGCTGACAGGTTGAGGGGTTTAGGATTGCACAAGGAACCAAAAAATGAAAGCCCCCAAACACCCTAAGCCCTGCGCCTGCCGCTCAAGTACGCCGAGCCTCTGCGCTCCAGACCTTTAGGCTTGAGGATTTAAGGTTTGGCTTTGCGGGTCCAGGGGCTTTTTGGAGGACTATGCCATGTTGGACACCTTCAAAGCCCCAGCCCCAAGTGGGTGTCATTTTCTTCGGGCTCTAGGGGGGGAGCAACCCCCTCAAGAATGGCTCAGCTCGAACTCGAACAAAAGACCTTGCCGTCCCCATACCTCATCAACAAGCGGGCTCATGGTCGTATTCGGGTTCAGAGTTGAGGGACATTCATCATTCACGCAATAGGCTCCGGCCAGTCCCCAGGATCATCCGCTAGGAACTCGAAGTGCTTCACTTTGGACCCTGGCAGGAGTGGGTCTTCTGCTGGGCTTTGGGCTTTGGGGTGAGGGTTTCCATGGGTTGCTTAGGAGGGTTCGGTAGGGTTCGGCAGGGTTCGGATCGGATGGTTTTTTCATGGGGGGCTGTGCTTGGCCAAAGCTTAGGTTTTTGAGTGGACGTGCTGCAGACAAAAACTTGACTCCTCCCACTTGTGCGCTCCTTTTCTCTACAACAGATGAACATGCGAAATCTGAGTTCTATGGATGAAACCAGACCCTCTTCCTCGCTCGCTGAGGTGCGGCGTCTGCCACACCAGCAACGGAGAAAGCACGAGCAGGGGCCGCGATGGACTGCGCGACAAAAGTTTGCCCACTCAGCCATCAATCAACCGCACGTCTTAACTGTTCTTGGGACCCTTTAGAAAGCGTTTAGATGTTTAGGATCCCATAAACACAGAACCAACTAAAACTGAACACGAGTTCCAAGAAAGTCTAGACGTGTCTCTATGTCCGACGGCAATACTCCCACATTTTGCGGGCGAAGGAAGCTTACAGCTGGGGACGCATCGTGGCTCCACAAAGTCCTCGTGACACAAAACATGAAGGAAAATCATGGATTCCTTGAATGCTTTGAGTTAGTGTCTTACCTGTTATACGAGAACGTGCACATCGAGAATGACGAGAATGAGGCAGCAGCACCAATTGCTGTGCCACAACACACCAGCTGGACTGAACCCATGACTGCTTCGGTTCTCGTGCTCTACATTCTGCATACTCCTGATCAACCACCCAGCGTCTCAAGATGTATTGTCGACCCTCGGGGACTCTCGAGCTCGGGCTCTTCCGCCGGCGCGACTCCACACAAGGATCTGCTGAAAGATGATTTCCACAGATTCTCACAGAGTCACGTGTACTGTGGAAGTGCGGAGGCTGCTGGAAAGTTGAAGAACTCACGGGTCCTTGAGATTTAGTACGAAATCCTACAGCCTTCGCTTCAAGCCTTCACGTCCAGGGTCGCAGGGGTCAGTTGGCCCTAAAATATGATTTCCCGAAACCAGCTCGCCTGAACCCTCAGCCTCACATCCCACAAAACTCCCCAGCATCTCTTCAAGCGTCAAGGTGGTGAGACATCCCCTTCACTAGGGGCCTCAGGCTGCATGGAGGCACCTATGGCACCTCAAGAGCAAGGGCAGGGGAGGGATTGAGGGTTGCGTGTAGGATGTAGAGCTATGGGGCTTTGAAGGTCATGGATATTTGATAGCAGTATAGCAGTCTTGCAGAGCTCTTAATACCCCTAAACCCTAAATCCTAAACCCTAACAAAATCAAAACCCTCTACCGTCCCGTGCAGCCAGGCGCTGAGCTCTGGCCTACCTTGGCTGCTTGGTTCGGGGTGTTGGGGAGCAGGGTTTTCAGGGTGTAGGCTGAGACGATATAGACTTTCGGGTTTAGGCGTTCGGGTTCTGGCTTTAGGATTTAGGGCTTCGGGCTTAGGGTTTAGGACTTCGGGGAAGGGTTCAGGGTTTTGGGGCGAAACAAAAAGCTGTACACGTGCATGCCTCATGCTCAGACAACACGACTCATTCAGTCCATTCTAAATCCCAACTTCCTCCTGTAGTAGGTCATTTGCGCAGAAGGGAGATGCCCAGGCAACTCCATCTTCGTCTTCGCCCATCCGATTTGTCCGTGAATAATTTCCATAGCCGCTGTACTCTAACCCGAAATCCTAAACGCAGCACAATTGTTTCTGTCTTCTCTCTGAATAAGTGGAGCTGCGCGGTACAGAGATCGCCTTCTTCTTTGCCACAGGCTTGGGGGCATTCCCGCAGGAAAGATGGAGGAGATCGGGCCCGGGCAGAAAGCGCGGTGGCCTGGACCCAAAATCTCTGAAGCAGCGGCTCAGGTGTTCTCTTGTTCTGGTGCAGCTTCAGCTCAGACCCTTCAGGCCTTTTAAAGCTTCCAGTGCTCTGTGGGTCGCGAGGTCTACATCAAGAATGTTTGTTGGCTCTGAACTTTGAACCCAAAAAGCTGCAATCGTGCCACCCGAAACTTCAACCCCAACCCCTGAACGCCATGAACCGCAATCACCCTGAAGCCAAAGTACCCGAAACCCTAAACCAACTTTCTCCCCCAGCGACTTGGCGTATCGTATCTCCTCGACCCTTCCGCTCAGCACAAGCACTTCGCCCTTCCTCGGAAGGGAGCTTCGGGTTCAGGGTTTAAGGTGTTCGGTCATCCGGCTCTTTTTCCTTCTCTTTCTTCAGGGATACCGAGTCATTAGCACTTCGCGACCACAACCCTCGCGTCCAGCAAGAACACAGCAATAGTCGACGCATCAAGTAGAAGCCGAGCTTCACGGCCTCGAGCTGCTCGACAAAGGACTGCCGCAACTCCTTTGCTCAGTCTCGGTGCATGTGTAAGAAATCCGGTTGAGGAATGGACAGGCGTTCTGAGGATTTAAGAAAGAGGGCGTTTAGCCCTGGCCATCTCCAGATAAATGCACTCCAAACTCCAAACGGGGGCAGTTCTAATTTGGGTTTTAGAGTTTAGGGTTTGGGTTCAGGGAACAGTCGCTTCAAATAGCAACAGGAGCCCCCCCGCATGAAAGGAAGTGCGGTTGAAGACTCAGCTCCCATAAAGCCTAAACCCTAAACCCTAACCCTACACCCTAAGCCCCTAAGAACTATTCGTAAGAACGATTCGGGGCCAGAATGGAAGGCTGCAACATTCCCACAGAGCCCAATACGCCTGTAGCTCAAGACTCTTTAGCTTCGCGATTAATCCCTGCCCCGTAATATTAAACCCCTCCCCTTGTGAACCCCCCAAACATGCCGATTCCGTGCCATGCAAGCTGCAAGCGCCACAGAAAACCCAAAATCTCACCGAGTCGCCATTATCATACGTTGGACTGCCTTCGTGGCCAAGAGCGAGGCAACGGTATCGCCCTTATTCACCTCGCCAGCCACTGAACCACTTTTGGAGCTGAAACATCTGAATGGTGGCGTTACGGGCGCTCCACTGCCCGGAGAGCGGTCAACAACATTAAGTCAAACTATTTCGAACACCCTAGCTCTCTGCTGCACACACAGTTTGAGGCACGACAGGCCGCGTCGAAAGCCTCAATCCACAACCCCTGGCAGCTAAGACGGCACCCTGATTCCCTAGACCGAAGCCCCAACCACGAAATACTGAACGATGGAACTTCGACCTTTCAATGCCTGGCCTCGCCGCGGATTTTGAGCAGTCCTGCAAAGGGGCAAAGGGCCCGATCTACCCATGAAGCTCTTGAACACGCAGTGGCCACAAACATAGACATGTCCTGTGCCACGGCGCCACCTTCAATGCGCACCTACCAACTCTGTCCCAGGCCTTGGACAAGCTCTGTGATGTGCAGCGTGCCACTACCGTCTGCATCGATGATCTCAAACCTGGGCAAAGCATTGCTTCGGGGGCGTCACTTGGAGCCTAGAACCGATTCAACTTGGAGCGCCGCAAATACTGGGAATGCTGTGGCATCTGGAGAGCTACACAGATCTGTGAATTGACCACAAGCTGTCTCGCTTGTTGTACATTGCTCAGGTCACACTGTGACAGGAGGAATCAGCGATTGTGAAGCTGACCGGAGATGAACACAATGTCAGGTTACATCGCAATATGGCAGGAGAAACACGCAGCGTACCACATGCACGCGAGGAATCGCAGTGCAACCCCACCATCCCAACTCAAGCTGGCAGCATGTTGGCTCTGTCTGCCGGCATGTCCAAGTCATCCATCAGCTTCCTAAGAATCTGGAGGCTCAAGTCTTTCGAGAGGCCAACGCCCGGCCAAACTACGATACCCTGAAGCGGAGAAATGAATCTCAACCAGGTCCTGGGTTGTCCTCATGCCCCAATCTCAGACATCCTGAACCCTGAATGGCCAGGGTTCTGCACGTCTTGGTCTTGAATCACGAGCAGGAAGAGCTCCTTCGTGATCGTGATGTTGTCCTTCAGGGATCGAAGAGGCCCTTACAACACAAGCTCTACCTAAAAGGGGGCTCGTACACAAAAACAGCGCCCTGGAACCCTGCGACTCGTCCTGAATTTCCTCATCGGTGAAAAGGACGGCAGAGGATGTGATGTCAATGTGCGACATGTTCTCCTCCTCCATGTCGTGCCAGAGGCCTGCACAGCTTTGCATGCTTCGACCCTACATCGATGAGATTCGAGGAGACCGTTTGCCAGACAATTCATACTGCACGTTCGATGTAAGCTTCTGTGGCTTCTGCTGTGTTTATCTATTCCCACCCTCCGCGAACAGAAGGAACAAAAGCTGTGAAGCCCTCCACGGACCTCCAACCCCATTGTCCTGAAGCTAAGGGCTCCAAAACTCCTTGGGCCACGCGGCGGTATGCCGCCGCAAATTTCTTCAGCAGCTCCCGCGTGGTCCGCGCGACTCGAATGGATTCCTTGAGTGCAACCGGCCACGCACATCTTCAACTATATCGGCGCGACCTGCAGTCTACAGTGTCTTGCCTGGCGTGAGTGGCTCACCAGCTACGTCTGTCCAGACTTGCTACAACTCGTGCATATAGCATGGGCGGCAGCAGTGCTGAGTAGCCAAGTACCCTAGAAGAATCGAAGCATACCGATTGTATCGAGCTCTGACAGCCTGCCAGTCACAAGGAAGCCAGTCAGGGTTCCTCACGCACTTCAAGCACAGTACTGAAGCTGCACCTGAGCAACTCCCATGCCGCACTACCCGTCAGCAAACCCTAAACTCCAACTGCCACCCTGGCGTCGTGAAAGTGCTGCTCGGCTGTGACTGCCTCTCTCTGAGAGAGAGAGAGAGAGAGAGAGAGAGAGAGAGAGAGAGAGAGAGAGGGAGATTAACGCCCAACAGGGCAGAAAGGCTTGTTGGGTCTTAGGGATATTAGGGACCATATAATCCTGAGCTTCCTGCATTGCGCTTGGGTTTTGGGGTTCCAGGGTTTAGGGTTTTGGTTTTCGGTTTCGCGTTTAGAGTTTAGGGTTTAGGGGGACGGTTCGGAAAGTGAACCAAGTCTTAGCTGCTTGGGTGACAGATTGAGATACTGCCTTTTTTGGCGCATGGATCTTGAGTAGGAGTGGCCGAATTCAGCTGGTAAGCTTCAGATTGGGATAGTCGCAGCTCCGTATTCCTCTCGAAATGCCAAAAGAGGCCTGATGATACTGTTAATTTAGAGGCATGTCGAATTGCCCGAAGAAATTCTTCGAAAGGGACCCGAAACAACTTCGGGGCGCCAATTCTTGAGGTCTCCGACCGCCCCCGCACCTCGCTCTCCTTCGCAGCTTTCATGGTGATATCGACGTAAACTGCCTTGCGAAGCTTCGAGACTTTGCTGAATCATCCTAAGCCCAACAAGGGCTCCTACGTGGCTTAGTGTTTTCTCGGCTCGGGCTTGCTTTATGTGCTACAGGCCCGAAACCCGAACTGTTTCGACGAAGGCACAAGAATGACATTGAAAATGCCGAGTGCCACCTTGGCTGCGTACAGTGGCCATCAAATCCTGACACATCCTCTTGGATCATAGCAGGGCCATAATATGGGGTTTCCCAAAACAAGGGCACCTTCTTCGAGGCAAATGCAAGATTACAGCATTGTGGGGGTTTTGAAGAGGGCGTCCCCTATTCTGCGAAATACCCATATCACCAAACATACCACCAAAAACGGTGAAGGCGTGCTCGCAATGCCCCAAGCCGCGAGCATGTAGCTGCTCACGTAACCTCATGTCAAAGCCAGTCCAGTCTGGAGATGGGATTTAAGCCTTTTATCCTCACTTAGGCAACGGACTTGCTCAGCATCAGGAAGACTCTACCATTCCCTACATGTCGCCTTACGCCTTCGGCTCAGATCTGGGCATGAGTACCTAGCAGCACCCACATGCCGACAAACAGACGTCAACCCGGTCACTGACTAACGCGACTATCTCGTCCAAGGCACCCAAGATAAAGGGCACGCCATACGCTTGGGCCAGCAGAGAAGGGATAGGCTGCCCGAGGTCGTCGATGCACTCGCCAATAAAGCAGCGGAAGGCCGTAAACCTGGGCAGGTCTAAGCGCTGAACTTCCTCAACTTCCCGAATCTGGCGGAGCCGTGCAAGGCCCTGAGTCTCAAGCCTACAGACTCTGCCGACAGTTCGGATCCAGTACGGGGGACATACGTAGTCGCTAAGAAGAAGCAAGCTTTCGTCAGGGGCTCCCAGAATCCAAAACCTTGCTGAACGTTCGAACCAGGCAGACATTGTCAGCGGCAGCGTCTCGAAGTAATGCTGCATCTTGAAGTCCTTTGCTTCTGCTGGTGGCCCGGGAATCACCCTAGAAAAATCAAGGGATGCCCCTTGTTTGCTGAACGGACAAGGAAACCAAAACTTCTAACGAAGTGTGTGAGGGCACTGCTGGGCATCCTTGTCGTTTCTTTGCCGACTGATCCCTAAGTTCCCAGATGGCCTGCGGACCAAGAAGCTGCAGTTTTTGTGTTGTTGCCGATCATCATAAATGTGAAGCCCGATATAACCTGGAGGCAGAGAGGGGCGCGTGTGCCCTACTCTGCATGTAGGGGTTGTACGGGGTCTCTCCGAACCCGGTTTGGGGGGAGGTCCCTATGGGGACGACTCTGCTCTTTTTGGGGTTATGTACCCCACAAAATCTTCACCCCGAAGCCACAACAGCTAAACGTTCGAGGCACGTAAATCACGGCGAAGAGCAAGCTGAAGGCTAGTAACAATGTCCTGTTGCAGATCTTGCAATGGGCAATGAGTCCCCAATAACCACAAATACCCGCAAGGCCAAAACACGGCGGCGGAGCCCGGTCTGAAAGGGGTGCTGCTAGGGGGCTTGGAGAAAGTGGGAACTAGGTTTAAGCCGAGGCTAGTGGAGCTTTGGGGCTTCAAGATCCCAAGTCCTGATCCCTGCGACGAGGCCCTTAACCATAAGACGCAGCTCGCTCATGAACTTCAGGCGGAAGATCTTGACAATGCGAACCTGGACAGCCATTCAACTAGTGTTTGGCGGAGGAGGGGGGGGGCGGGTGAACCGAAGCTACCGGCTGAGTTCTGCAACATGGGATGGGTGAAAGCGTGTGGTGGGGCATGCCAAGGCGCAAGTCTCACCAAACGACAGAGTCCTGAGACCCAGATCAATAGAGGTCGAGGTGGCAGGGCTTGCAGATCTGCGTATCTAAGGGAAACACATGTACAGTGGGGCAAGCGGCGCTGCTTCCAAAATTCTCCGACTGGGGCCCAGCATGAAACACATGACCGAACGAAGCAAAATTGCACTTTCCTTCGTGGGGATTTCTGAGGCAAGGCACTCAAGAGAGATGCTGCCCAGATATCGGTATTGAGCTCGCTGGCAAGCTGGATGCCTCCAGGAATGTGTACATGTGCTATGTGACGACATGTGAATCCATCTTTCCTGACTTACTGCCACAAGTCCGCCAAGACCACCACGATATTGCAACTCAGTTGGACTTGAAGGTACATGTTCAGCCCACAAACCGACGACGACGTTGAGGGGGCCTGCTACCTGAAAGGTTCGTTGCCTGCAGTTCAACGTCAGGGGATGTGGGAGATCCGCTTACAAAAGTACGGCACCTATGAGCCTTCCTTTGGAAAACCAGCTCTTGTCTAAGTAGCTTCACTCAACGCAGCATCACTTTCATGCAGATGCTCCATCTACCCTGAACATGAACCCTGACCCTAAACCCCAAGCCTTCTACCCCTGAACTCGAAATCCACAGAACCCTAGACCCTGTCTCTGAGATGCAGACCGACATCGACCAACCCAGCTCCCAGCAGGCTCATGTCAAACCTTCGGCACCAGCTGCATCGGCAGCTGCAGTAGGCGTGGTGATAATAGTGGTAGCTTAGGGGGCTCCGTTGGGTCTAGGGCTTGGGTTTTGTTTGGGATTTGGGCCTGGTAGTTTGGGGTTTGCCTTGGGAGTAAAGAAACAAGGCGGCCCGCCCAACCAGGAAAGTAACCGAAAGTGTGAAAACAAGACAACATGAAAAACGTGCAAAACAAGACCCAAGAAAAGCAGCGCGAAAAACATCAGGAAAAAAACGATGTTTTCAGCATCATGCAAAAAAGAATAACGCTAAACAACTACATAACAAAACCCCCCCCTCCCACAGAAAATGTAAAGGCAGCGAAAAGCCCCAGGAACAACAGTGAAAAGTAAAGGAAAACATAGCGTCAATAGCGCGACGTTAGCCTAGCAGTAGCAACAGCAGTAGCAGTAGTAGCGGTACTCGCAGTAGTAGCAGTAGTAGCAGTAGTAGCAGTAGTAGCAGTAGTAGCAGCAGCAGCAGCAGTAGCAGTAGCAGTAGCAGCAGCAGCAGCAGCAGCAGCAGTCGCAGTAGCATTAGCAGCAGCAGCAGCAGCAGCAGCAGCAGCAGCAGCAGCAGCTGCAGCAGCTGCAGCTGCAGCTGCAGCTGCAGCTGCAGCACAAGCAGCAGCAGCAGCAGCAGCAGCAGCAGCCGCCGCCGCCGCCGCCGTAGTTGAAGTTGAAGTTGAAGTCGTTGTCGTTGTCGTTGTCGTCCTTCTCGTTGTCGTTGTCGGCGTCGTGGTCGCGGTCGCGGTCGCGGTCGCGGTTCGTGGTTCGTGGTTCGTGGTTCGTCGTCGTCGTCGTCGTCGTCGTGGTCGTGGTCGTGGTCGTGGTCGTGGTCGTGGTCGTGGTCGTCGTGGTCGTGGTCGTCGTGGTCGTGGTCGTGGTCGTCGTGGTCGTGGTCGTCGTCGTCGTGGTCGTGGTCGTCGTGGTCGTGGTCGTGGTCGTCGTCGTCGTCGTCGTCGTCGTGGTCGTCGTGGTCGTGGTCGTGGTCGTCGTCGTCGTCGTCGTCGTGGTCGTCGTCGTCGTCGTGGTCGTGGTCGTCGTCGTCGTCGTCGTCGTCGTCGTCGTCGTCGTCGTCGTCGTCGTCGTCGTCGTCGTCGTCGTCGTCGTCGTCGTCGCTGCTGTTGTTCTTCTTCTTATTATTCTTCTCCTTCTTCTTCTTGTTCTTCATTTTGATGAACATGATTGCTATTGAGACTGCAGTTGGCATCATAAGTATGGCTATTGTCTTAGCCGCTGCTCTTGAAGCTACTATCACTAGTGTTGCTAGTGTTGATGATGTTGCTGTTGCTGCTCTGACTGCTTACAAATTCTCGAACAAGCATTCAATTAAAGGTTCTGATTTTTAAGCTTTGGGGAGTTCTTGAGTTTGAGTGGTCGTCGCACACGCGAACTTTGCTTCCTGCCAAGACTACGCATGCCGGTCGAGAGCCTCCTTGGCTACATGGTTGCATCAGAAAAACTGCAGATCCAAAAAGTAAATAAACAGCCGAGGGTTTAAGGTTTGGGGTTTAGCGTAGGGTTTAGGGTTTAAGCTTAAGGGCTGAGGGTTTAGAGTTTGGGGTTTGGGGTTGAGGGTTTTGGGGATCTTAGGGTTTGAGTTTAGGGTTCAGGGTTTGATCCCCACTTGCTCTTTTTCTTTGACCCCGTATCCCGGGTACACAGGTCCTACCCTTCCGAACGGGTTCATTCAGGGAACTCCTCTCCAAACGCACAGAAACTTGAAAGGCATGAACGAACGTCCGCGAAGCCGCTGGAGGACTTGCTGCGAACCACTCCCGCACCCTGAAGATGAGTCCATCCAGCCCAGGCACAGGTTCCAGAACATGTCCGCTCCACACCAAAATACCCTGCATCCAACATAGCCTGTTCAGGAAAGGCAGTTCGATCATAGCCGCCTGCTCTGCATATTCACTGAAAACTGCGCAGGATATCCCGACCTACAAAACTTCTAGGGGAGTTGCTTGAAGCTCTCCTTGGTCCCGGCCCTTGGGCCCCCCGGTTTCCCAGCCTCTCCTGCTCCGACCCCAGGCATTACAATTACTTTTGGGTTGTCCTGGTGATGCAGCACATATCATACTATCGACACATCTTAAGTATCGCATGAAACTCTCTGGCCTCCCACTTGTTGTCTTGGGCTGTTCGCCCTCCTGCTCTAGGATTCTGAACCTCCTAAACTTCAAATCCTTCTGGTCATGTCACCTCCTGAGTAAACCGCTCTAATCCCTTGCCAGAGCACACACCGCTCATTCAATGAATCTACATTCACTTTAGGGCTTAGGGTTGAGGATGCAGAGATTCGCAGACCCCAAAGAAAACCTGGGGAACGGGAAGGTCCGGAAAGGCGCAAGTTTGCCAGGGCACTTATGCGCAGCAGGATTTCCAGAAGCAGCGCAGTAGTGAAGACGAGCTCGAAGTAGAGCCAGCCATCCCAATTTTCCAACCTGAAGTAGGGTCTAAGGTTTACTCGTTCGAAGAAGAACAGTTTGTGTGAATTCGGGTCTTAGCATCCTCAAAGGCAGCACAGGGGGCTACAAGGTACCGACATTCCCTCCTTCCCTGTTATGACCCAGTAAGTTAAGGATGTAAGATGGTAGATTTGGGATTTAGGCTTTAGGGTTTTTCGACACTGTCGGGTCGTTTTCGGGTTTAGGGTTTCTCGCTGGGTTGTGCCGCGGTATCCGAGACTGGAGAATGATGCCAAGGGGCTCCGTCTGCACGCCGGTCCTTGTCGAGGCATGCGCGAAATTTTCTTCGACGACTTGCGTGGGAAGAAATACGCACCTCGAACCTCCCTAACAGCCAACTGCTGCCGGGGCCGCATTATGCCGTTGGCAACAATGAGTAGCGCCACAAAAGGCTCCAGTAGCAAGAGTGGATGCAGCCTGCGGAGACATTCCAATCGATTAACCCATAGGCCTGACCTTTGAAAGCAGGTGCGACTAGCTGAACCGCTCGGCACCCCACCGCAGGGCTAAACCCCGGACCCTGAACCCGAACCCCGAAAACATGCCCACAACCCCCTCCCACGCTCCAAGTCATTGTCAAACTCCTTGTATGGTCCAGGGCTAGGCTGAAAACAGGCACCCTACAGCAATTCTGACCACTTACGTGGGAGGGGGCAGGGTGATCCAACCCCCTACAAAGGAAAATCCCCCCCCTTTTTTGCCCCGAAGACGATATACTGCTTAAATCAAGGACCCCCCCCCTCCCCCCCCCCAAAAAAAAAAGTACCCTTAACTTTGCCCCTGTTGAGCTGAGTGGCGGTTCGGGCGGCGCCGCTAGATCATTAATGCGGACGAATGTGAGCTCCGCGACCAGGCCTAGGTAGTAAGGGGTTTCGGGCTTTGGGGTTTTTGTTTTCGGCGCAGGATGTGGGGAAGATGCTACAGGTCTGTCCTCCAAGGGCTCTGTGATGCTTGGCAGTGCACGAACTGAGGAGATAATGCACTTGCGGAGTTGAAAGCCATGTTGTTTCTCCTCATCATGTCTTCCAATGCTCTTGTCCAGGGCTTTACAGCAAAAACTTTGCCTTCGTGACTTTGGGCATCGCCGACTAGCGGCGCCTACTTAAACCCCTTCGGGCCCCAGGGCCCTTGCAGCTTTGAGGAACTCATTCACCGGGAGCCCCGAGGCCAGGTGGCGATTTGTGTCGCCGGCCAGGAGAATCTCCCGAACCGCCTGAAAGACTTTCCTTAGCCGGAGTGTGCCCCCAAAGATCCGCAAAAGCTGAAGGAGCTCATAGAGAATGAGACGACTTCTGACTTCTGACCCTGGTGCTCAATTGGCACCTGCCCGGAAGAAAACGTGTTCAGTGGTGCTCCTCTCAAGTCATCAAGCTTTTGGAAGAATGCTTCCCCTAAGGACAAGCAAACCTGACCCTGAGCCTTAGTAAGCCAGTCCACGAAGCATAACAAGCACTACAGCTACATTAGACTGTCATTGTCTCGCTCATCTGCCGCTGGACTTCAAACCGATTCAAACCCAGCGCCGCGGACAAGCACAACTCCGGATGCCAGTTCGTAGGCACTTTGATATGTGTGAGGTACGATGCAGCCACGGGCGATGGGGGGGGAGCTTCAAATCCTGCAAGCCCTTGCTGTCGGCATAACGCCAACTTGGGGAGGGGCGGGGGAGGAGGTCTAAGCCCCCTGCAACGAACCCAAACCCGACAGCCCGAAACCCTACAAAAGCCACAAAGCACCCAAGGTTCAGCGAATGAGGCCCGAAGATGCGCTTCTGAACCTCGGCGTCCTCTGCAAGGAACCTTTGTGATTTGCTGTGAGCGAGGTCTTAGGTTTTGGGGCTTAGGGTTCGGGGTTTAGGGGACGGGAGGAGCTTGGGACTGGTGATCTCACTGGTATTAGGTCGATTCACATCGGTTTCAGGTTTAGGTGCAGACCAGGCGGGGAACTTTCCTGTCTGGATGAAGATTCTGAGAGCAGGCGGTGGGACGCTTCCGAGCTTCAGAGTCTGAGGGTATTTGATTGAGGGCTTCAGGTCTTGCAGCGCAAGCAACATTCATCCAAAAGTTGCTTGGATTATCATAGTTTCAGAATGGCTTCGGGATGGATGGCTTTATAGCTGGGCCGTACCTGACTCTCCTGCATGCATGAGCATCATAAAACGCTGGAAGAGCCGCAGCGTCATGAGCGGTTCCGCAGGTACGCAATTGAACTTGCCTCAGCTGCAACTTCTCAGGGAGTAGAACAGGAAAGGAGTGTTGTGTCTTTCTGCCACATCGATCAGATGCTGCTGAACATTGGAAGCATCAGCAAGCAGGGTCATCCTCCGGAAGAAGCTGAAAAGCGCTGGTAGGTACCCATGGAGAGCCGCAACAACGAACAGCTACAATCTGACCCGTCCGTTTATGAAACCACCCTGGGCAAAGACAACTTGGGAGTGGTCAAGGCATTAGGTTGATCTATATTTTGGGTGCTTCTTTGGTTAGACGACAATAGGTTTACAAGGCCCAATGTAGATGAAGCCCCAAGCAGACCCCCCCCCCCCCCCTGACCAAGCCTCAAATCCCAAGCACGTTTGCAACAAAAACCTTGTAGTCCAAAATCCTCAACCCTCGACCCCAAGCCCTGAATGTGCTGCAATGGTACTACCAGTAGTATGCTTCGTGCCTCTGGGAACTCCATGCAATTCTGCCGGAAGTGGAAAACGTGCACTCTGCTTGATGCGCTGTCTAGCTGAGGGAACAATCCATTTTCATCCCAAAAAGTGGCCAAACCCCAAACGACGACCCACCCAAACCTTCACCAGGCTGTCTGGGCCACTGGGGGGCGGCGCACGCTGCATCCACGAAGCCATTGAGCCACTTCCTGAGAGCGCAGGCCATTGGTTTTAGGGGTCCCAGCTGCCCAAACTTTCTTTAGGGTTCAGGGGGTTTGGGCCCAGGAGAACGCAGGAGCGTTCACGATATAGAGGTGTGGGGTTCGGCGAGCTCAGTTGAAAAGGCTGCAGCTACGGGTCTTGCACGCAATGCTGTGGAGCAGCAGTTTAGGCGGTAGCCTAATCTGCTTATGATGCGAGCATGCAGTTCGCAAAATATGTTCGGAGGCGGGGCGGGAGGTCCAAGAATGGAAGGCACAGAAAACCGGAAGCTACTAGTACTTGGGAGGTTACCTTGATTTCGGTCCCTCTTTAGGTTCCCATTATGCCCTTATGTTTAACTGCACACTTGCCGTAGCTGTGACCACTACGGGGACGGGGGGGTCAACAAGGTCCCTGTACTCGAGCGTGAACCCATGACATGAGCTTGGGATTTACAGGGGCTGGAACTTGGGAATTTCCAGGTTTGTAGGATACCGTCAAAGCCCCACCATTAAAACTCCCTGAGGCTGTTGATAAGAAGGCTTCGTCGCATCATCATCGACTCGCGATGGGGCGGCCACTTCCAGACGGGCCGACCATATTTGCTGCGAGGGGATGCCGTAGAGCTGAGGCTAATCCTTCGCACTCGCGTCTCCTGCATCGGCTAGAGCGGCTAGGGTTCAGGGGTTCAAAAGCAACTCGGCTCACCCATGCCTCAACATCCACGGCAGTCCTGGAACTGCAGTCCGATAAAATCCGCGGTGAGATTCACGACTGCGTTCATATCCTGCAAGGATCGCATGGGCTGTGGCATGGGCCTGTGTTACACGTGTTGTGCTTGGACCCGGAGGTCTTGGTGTGGTCTCCTGGCAGAGTCTTAGAGTACGTGTGCTGCGCACGTGGTGTGTCTTGCGCATGGCCTGCGAGTGAAAGAGTAGAGGACTCCATGCCATATGGCAACATCGGTACTCTCACTACTGCAATAGCGCCTCCACCTTGTACCGGGTAAGGCCCAAGGCGAAGACAGCATCATGGAGTGCCTTCATGGCTTTGGATGCCACACCGAGCGGCATTGTTTCAGGGTTCTCGGTTCGAAGCTTCCACTTTCGGAGCCTGACCCGTGATCAAGGTGTTTGGGGAGAAGATCCCCAAGCGAAGCCGCAGTCGCCTGAGCAGAGGCCGCTATTTTGGGAATCTGGGTAGTCAAGCGCAAAGCCCCAACTTAGGCAGCTCAGGGGCGCCATCTTTCTCACAAACTACCTCGGTATCCTACAAAATTCCCGATGGAATTCACGAGCAAGCATGGGAACTTGCGGCGTCTTGCTTTGAAGACATTCTTTATCGGAAGCGGGAAAGCGATCCCCAGAACCCCATCATTCCCCGACAAAACTCGAACCTCACAACCACCCCCCATCACTCAAGGCCCTCAAATCCACCCCTCCGACCTCCTGACCGCTTGAGCTTCCTGGTCACTGAGGCCGTTGAGCCTTGGAGTGGGCCACCACCCAAGGGTCAGGGTTTAGGGAAAGGGACTCCTGGGACACAGTGACAGCCTCCGACTGCTGAACTGCACGATCTTGAAACCAAAGCACAAGCGCCGCGGCATTTCCTCAACCAAAGGCCCTCGTTACTCTGGATCTTGGAACCCCATAGTGCCAAACTGCTTCGGGAAAGTCTCATCTTTTCTCGGTTCTAGAACTGAAGCCCCACACGCCAAAGCCTATCGAAAGCCAGAAACCCTACGCCGCCTACGCCCTACGCCCCTGAAATTCGCTGGTGAAGCCTCGAAGTGAGGTAGGGCGCTGCCATCCTTGGGTTTTCGATGGGGCAGGGCACGGGACAGAAGTTGCCTGGGCTTCAGTGCGTTCAGCCATTAACTCCATGAGCCCAGAATTGAGCCGAACAGCCCGTCACATCCCATCTTCCGATGTCAGAATTTTGTTCTTACACTTCTTCGCCAGGGGCATGTCACAGGTTGTGCCGGCTAACCCACAACCGCATTCGCCAAAGCCTTCACTCAGTTCATGGTGTCTCGGAGTTAGGGCCCAAAGGGTTGGGGTATGCATAACATTGGCTGAGTTTGTTCTCACAGGTTTAGGGTTTGGGGTTTGGGGGTTAGGGATGTGCAGCCCCACGAGATCCAATCCCAAAATCCCATGAAATTCCCACATCCCGCGATTTGCCCAAAACACCCTGAAGCCCAACGCACCAACATAGACAACGCCCGAAAGCCGCGAAAAAGGCTCTGTAAGACCCCGAAACGCCCCAAGGCCCAGACCCTACGGTCGAAATTCTCGACTCTACACCCTGAACGCTGAGAATTGTGGGGTTTGGGCTTTCGGGACTTTATGGCCTAGAAGGGCGGGAAATTCAAGGCCTAAAAACTCCTGAAGCGCGTCTCAGGGTCTTCAAGACTGGCGAGGATGGCTCAGTCGGATCCGACGTGCCAGACCTGGTACAGTTTACAACACTATGCAAGAAATCATCGGACTTTGAAACGAGCATCTTGGGCCTTGATTCTGTTGAAAAGCCAGAGCATCTCTAAACAAAAGGAATCGAAACCTCAAATGAGGGGCCGGATTTCTTGAGGGGGATGGGGTGAACCAGTCTTTAGCAGGATGACTGAGGCATCGTCCTCAGAGAGGTTGAGGGGCTGAATTTCACTTGAGGGACGGGATATCTTAGTCTTTGACCGTTACGAAGTTGAAGGGCTGGACTCTGATTTCAAGGTGTGGGAAACATCGCATCGAGGCACTCCTCTGCCCTCAAATTATGGATGCGACCTTTTTCGACAAATCGCCGGGCCTGATAATCTGAAATCCAGGGAACCCTCATCGAACATAACGCGTTTCTGGCGCGGGAGGGCTCAGCGGTTTAGCGTTACCTGCTGGGCATCGAAACATACTAGGGCTTGTCTATTTTTCAGCCGAAGTGTAGAGGATGCTGAGGACTTTAGGGATCTTACTTGGAGCAGCCAATCGGTGCTTCGCGTGGTGGGACTCGGAAGCTTCGGTTGGACCGGGGCTCAGGGTTACAATGGTTGCAAGTTCTCTGAGAGAAGCGCACCATCTTCTCCGAGGGGCCACATGGACGCCACGCTGTTAGAACCAGTTCTCTCCATGGCATCCAGGTTCAGCTCGAAGGAGTTTTCCGAGTTTTCCACTGGCCCCAGCGGTGGGACTTCGAAGGACGCTGCCTTGTCAGCCTTCTTTTCTTCCGGAGGTCGGAGACCCTCTGAGGCTCCATCAGCGCTCGGTGGTGCCTCGAGTGAAGTGACGGCGGGGAAGGACTCCAGGAGCTGCTGGCGGAATGCCAGAAGGGACTGGTCCAGCAGCTCTTCGAAGGTGTTTCGGTCCATGCGCACAGGGGTACTAGGGTAAACTTGGGTCTAAGGTCTGCAGTCCTTTCCTCCCGGAGGAGATAAAGGTGAGGGCTACTCAGCGGCTACTCTTTCTAGGTCCTAGCTTGCCATCGAACTACCGCGTATTTCGTGAAGTTGGGAATTGACGAAGACATGCTTTGCTAAAGGCTGCGGACAAAGAGCACCGAAAACCCATGCTGGGTAACGAGTCCAGATGTGAGCTGATGCCTCCCCCATATGGACCGGCTAGCACTGAACACATAGTAAACAAGTCTGCACCAGCAAGTGCCGTACTCACCAATAGAGGCGTGTCATCCAGATACGATTCCCACCCAGGGATGCAAAGTCAGACGTTCCAAAAAATTAGATTCAGGATGACTGCTCTCCCTCAAGGCCATGTGGGCGGTTGAACCCCAAAGCCCAAACAGTCCAGAACTCGAACTCGGCTAGCCCGCACCACGCCTGAAAGCCTTCTCAGGCCATGAAACGTTGGCACAACGTCGGGGCGCCTATGGACATGGTGCCCCGGAGGGACACGTGGTCAGCACAATGGAGCATCAGCGAGCTCTGTGCCGGACCCGAGTCACCCTGGCTCTGAGCTCGAAGAAATGGAGCTTGCCAGTAATGCTTAGCAGTCATAATAGCAATGAGAGTCAGAATGGATTTAGAGGCCAAAATAGCAATAGTAGTCATGATAAATGTCATCGTAAGAATATCTATACTAGCAATAACGAAAACGATGATAGAAAGGACTCCACTAGGGTCTGGGCTTGGAGTCTAAGCTGCGGATGCCACACCACTCATTGTTAGCATTAGTACTACGACTGCGACTATTCGTATGATTGCGGCTACTGCAACTATTGCTTCTCTCAGTCTTCTCGCCATCCTGGCTATCCTTACTATTCGTACTATTTTTACTATGCTTACCTTTGTTGCCGTTCCAACTGTCGTTACTTTTGTGGCCATTCTTACTATTACGGCTACTAGTCTATTCATATGGTTCGTATGGTTCCTATAGTTACAGTCGTTCGTTACTTTGACTACTATCATTACTATGATGACGAGCGTGCCAAGTTTTACGGGTACTACTACTATTGTTATTACTATGACTACTTTGGCTATACTGTAAGTATATACTACTGTTACTATGACTACTGCTCCTACTGTTTCCTAAATATTGTTCTATGATCGCAAGCATTCATACTTCTTGCAACATGCTTTGCATTATTCTGGCAACTACTGAATTACAAGAGCAACATTAATCTGAACAACATTGGTTCTTATGAACAAGAATAATAGCAGGCGACCTCGACTGTACCTCGTGGATACAGCCGCAGTGAAAGGCCCTGGCGACAGGAGGACATGAAGCCTCGAAACCCAGCTGCTCGTCAATAAACACTTCAAAGCCCACGACTTCCTAACGCCCCCAAGACTCTGCAAGTACAACATCCCCGAAAGCCTTTAAACTCAAACACTGAACCCTGAGCGCTAAACGCCCTGAGGCCTGTCAATCCACCCAAATCCCATGAACCCATCAGCCGTATGTCTGCGATTACAGGTTTGAGCCTCAGGACTGCTTTAGTTTGGGGGATGGCTGAAGGTAAAGGCCTCTCTAGGCTTGTAAGCTCCAAGCACATGCAGACAGCTTGCCATGTGCATAGGTGCACACTTGTGCGCACATACCGTACATACACTGATATGTATGTATAGAAATGTATGTATATATATATATATATGCTCACCCCCCCCCCCCGCCCATGATCTAGGTCGGAAGGCCTTTCGGGCCCATCGAAGCGAGACTTAAACTTAATTCGGAATGAAAATTAAAAGGCCACTGGCCTCATTCGTAGTACAATTTATTTAGAAATCTAATTTTGCCAATTAAAAGCCGCACCCTATGAAATCCTCTTCTGGGGCCTGCCTGTCCACATTCTCCCCTGGCCTCGCTTCGTAATAAAATGTTATTTGAGGTTTGTATCCAAACGCCACCCAAAGAAATCCTCATCTGGACTCGTTTGTAATTCCACTTAAATTGAATTTCAAGTTTAGAGGCCACACCCCTTTGGACAGAATTTAAACGGCCACACCTGTGCATGATAAAGCCACAGCTTCGTTCGTAAAACCAAACCAAGTAAAACAATTAAGAGGCCACGCCCTTCTAAGCCTCATTCGTTACTACCTCTTTGGAATTTTATTTTACCGACCACACCCTGTGAAAGTCTCCTCTGGCCCCGCTTCGTGATGAAATGTAATTTGAGGTTTGCACTAGAACACCACACCCTAAGAAATCCTCATCTGGACTTCGTTTGTAATTCCACTTAAATAGACGTTTAAATTAAGAGGCCACACCCCAAGACATCCTCTTCGAAGCCCCACTCTTTTTCGAAGTCCAATTAGACTTTTGAATTGCAGGTCCACATCCTCAGAAACACACCCTAAGAAACCCTCTCTATTTTTTATATTACTTTTTACATTAAGACGCCACATCCCAAGACATCCTCTTCTAAGCCTCATTCGGAAGTAAATCTAATGGAATTTCACATGTTAACGCCACGCCCTGCATACCGAATAGGCTGAATTGAACTAAAAACGAAATGGTGGGTGTGTTTGTGTGTTTTTCTGTGTGTGTGTGTGTGTGCAAGGCAGTCACATTAGAAGAAACAACTTAGAACAATACACATTCTTTATACAAGAAAAGCATGTTTTTGCAAAATTTGCTAAACAATCCAAAATCCAAAAATCCCAAAATTCAAAACCATGGAGCCGGGAGGTCGCCCTTTTTGGGTTTTTTGGTTTTCTCGAGGTTTTTTTGGTTTACTTTGGAAAAATAATTTATAAAAAAAAAAAAACATGTGTCTTTTTGGATTTGACTCTCCGAGGGGTTGAAAATCAAAAAAGCACGAGGGTCTTTTTGGATTTTGAGTGAAAATCTTCACTCAAAAATCCAAAAAAAAAACATGTGTTGTTTGGTTTTGAGGCCAGGAACAAGTAAAATCCAAAAAAACACATGGTTTTCTTTGGGTTCTTCAAAAAAAACAAAAAAACCTCGAGAAAACCAAAAAGTTCAAAAAAGGCGGCCTCCCGGCTCCATGGTTTTGAGTTTTTGGATTTTTGGATTTTTGGGCAAATTTTGCAAGTTCTGTAAAAAAGTGTTTTTTGCATATAATTCTGTGTTTATAAGCCTGTCCTATGCAAATAATTCACAGACATGTTGCATGTTCCTGCATTTTTGGGGTGTTTTTCATGTGGTGATGTGGAAGTAGTGCTAAACATACGCGTTTTTCACTATGTACAGGTTTTCTTGCATAGGACTAGACGTGCAAAAACAGGACATCGCCTAACATAGCCAGCATGTCATTTATTCGGTATTTACGAGGGGACAAAGCAAAACCTAGATCATGGGGGGGGGGGTGACCATACATATTTTTTATTTATATTTGTTTATTTATCGGTATCTATTTATTCATGTACGGTTCTCGGTGCCAAACCCCCCTCCAAGAACCCCCCCCCCTTTTGATGCAAAAACAAAATCCAACCACGCCACGGAAGAGGGGGGGGTGATGCCAAGCCCTGATCCTATACATAACAGACTGCTTTTTTGTTGAAACTAGTGTCCACACTCAACATAGAGGTCCTAGATGCATGAGCCCGAACAGCCATAGAACTAAATCCTGACCCTTGAAAAACTCCAAACTCCCGCAAGCCGAACCCTCACCTCTTACGTTTGCCCTGGCATCCCAAAATCCCGACCCGTGTGGCCTCTAGACCTGCGCACGCGAAGAAGGGGCTCTCCACGAAGTGGCCAGGCTGTGCTCGTTGCAGAAGCCTTGTCAGGGCTTGGGGCGGATCTGACTATTCTGGCTACAAGTCCTTCTGCCCAGTAGGACCATCACAATGCTAATTATTATTGTTAGAAGTAGGGTTCAGGGTTCAGGATTCAGGGCCTCCCGCTGTTTGGCTGCAATAAGGACATCCAGGGTTGCGCTCGAGACTACTGGCAAGCCTGGCGAAACCCTCCTCAGGGCCATCGGAGAGAACAAGTGCCCTCGCAAGCACCCCTCAACCCCTCAACCTCGACCCTAAACCCAATGGAGGGTTTCTCAGGGTTGCAGTACACCCTAAACCGCAAGCACCTGTGTAAACGAAGCCCCGAGCCCACCTGCTGCATCCTTCCAGGGTCCACTCCATACGCCGCGTTTGAAGGGACCACAGCCTGATACGACGTGTCGAGGTTTGGAGTTTGGGGCTTCGTTTCGGTTCACTTACTTCATTCCAACTTTTTTATTCTTGTTTTGATTCCTTGTTAATATTGCTTTGATTCTCGCACTTTTGCCAATCTTAGCTATGGTGATTTTTCTTCTTTTTTACGTGGAGGAGAGGGAGGGGGGGGAGGCAGGGGCGGGGAGTTGGGATTTCAGCCCTTGGCGGGTTCAGAGAAATTGGGATTGGCTTCGGGTAACCTGAACTTACAACCCTCCTCTCTAAAACGCATCCCAAGTGCCGGCGCAGATCAGCAGACACGCGCTCCTGCAATTGGTGGCAGCGAAGGGAAGTGGCAGTGAATGGACGGAAGGGGCGGAGGAGGGGCGGGAGCCTTCTCTACTAGTAGGGTTTGGATTTAGGGTCTTCTATAGGATGCAAACCAAAGCCTGGATCAGATTCCGAGACCCACCGAGACCCCGTTTAGGGTTTGGAGTTAAGGTTTAGGTTTAGAGTGCAGAGTTTAGGGTTTAGAGTTGAGAGTTCAGAGTGTAGGGTTCAGGGTGTGAGCCTGCTTGAGCGAGCTCACGACAGGTGGAGGTGGATGTGGCAGCGAGCTCTTTCAAAGCACGCTCAAGGCGGCGATCTTGCATAAGTAAGTCCCCGAAGTATTCAAAAAAGAGATACAACACACATCATCCCAGAAGCGCCAAGGGCTTCCCTGAATCCACTCTGGACCAGTCCTGCACCAGACCTTCGCCGGCCAAGTGATCCGTGTAGCTCCTGGGATGTCGTCA